CCTTTCCCTCCACAACCGGATCACTTGTGGGAGCTGCCTGTGCTCGCTGTCACCACCGCCTCTCCTCTCCACCAGCTGGATGCTGCCTTCCCCCCCTCCACTGACTGGCAAAACCCAGTAGCAGCAGTAGGATCTGCCCTTGACCTCTGCAGAGCTCAGATGCCGGGCTTCCTCTCCCAGCTCTTTTGGCTTTCAGGCCACTGATCCCCCTCCCTCTCCAGCAGCTCCTTCCGAGCCTGCTGCAAGGGCGCCCCTTCCTCTAAATAACCGGCATTCTATTTTATAAAAGGAGGCAAGGGGCCACATCTTGGCCCACAGCCCACACAAGCACTGTTTTGCTGATGGAAAGCTGTTGAATTCTGTAGAGCTGAAATTCTGAATAAATGGACACATTTACAACTTCCTGTCCATTTAGCTATCAATCATTCTAACAAAGGTAGTACTAATAATAGCTTGCACATGTAGCAATTCACAGCTTACAAAGTGCTTTCACATGCCCTGCAATATCCCTATCTATGTGTAATGAAAATATTTCTATGTCTGCACAATATTAAACAGGCATCATTAAATTCGACTCACTTTGCCAAGGTGTTGGGGGTGGCGTTGGAAATGAGCTTTGTTTTGATGAGGAGTCCTTGCTTATGTCATCTGGGTGTTGTTAGCCAGGATCATGTTCCCAGTCCCCCACTCAGTTCTACTGGTGATTGACAGATTATTGATCCTTGGGACAGGGCCAAATGACCCTCGTTCATTTTAATAACACGTGTTCCTGCCGGGGCATGAGGAGAGGCCAAGGGCTGATGAGAAGATGCGGGAAGTCTCCACACATGCAGGGGAAGGGAAAGGCAGGTTGGGGCCCAACTACAGGATCTGAGACCTTTGGATCAGGATGAAGTGTGACCAGACTGGCAGGGTTTCTGCCACTCTCTGTGGGTCACCCTTTCCAAAGGAGACTTGGAAGCTTGAAACCAAGATGGCAAGTAGCAATATCTTGTGTGCCAGCTCCTACCAGTTGGTAGAACCTACTTGGAGTACAGGGTTGAGGAGGATTCCGAGGCCAAGCCCAGGCTCCCTGGAAAGCAATCCCATGATTAGACAACACTGTCTGCCATAGGTGTGAAAGGGGACAGGGCAGCACATGCCACATCTTTGCTGTAGCTGCTTCAAGTTGTCTTTGAAAGGTGATGGACTACTGCCAAACTAAACTGGGGCCATCAGGGGAGCCACTGAGGACAAGCATGCAGGGGACTTCAGCCATTTCACCGAGCATAGAGCCTGGGCTTTTTCTTAGTTTGGCTCTCTGGGACTTTGCTTTGGGGTGGTCAAATATTTGAGGCCAAAAAGCCACATGGACAAGGATTTTCTGATGTCCTACAGCCCCTCAGAGGCTCCCCGTTGCTTGCTCGCCCACCTGCGGCTCTTTGTGCTCTGTCCACTTCCCGGGTGCTTTGTGCGGTTTCTTCCTTGTCGTCTCCTTGCTGTGCTCAGGCGTGTGGGGACTTTCAGGAGTGCCTTATGTCTCTGGTGGTGAGTCCTGTCCCTCTCCCAGAAACCGTGGTGACCTTTGGTGAAGCGTCAGCTCCCACCCGCTCTGTCCTGCCCTTGACTCCTAACTCTCGCTACTTGAACCCTAGATCAGGGGCAACTCAACTGCATTGACCTTGGGCTGGGTTTTGGAGCTCTCGGGCCTGCGTGGTATCAGATGTACCCGAAGCAGCTGGGTTTGTTTACTTGCCAATCAACCATCCTAGGGGGAAGTACAGGGCCGTGGGCACCTCTGCCTTGTGTGCCGTCATTCCCAGTGAGCAGATCTTTTCACTTAGATGGCCAGTCACCACGGGGAGTGAGCTCTACCTTCAACACACACGCTTCACCCGAAACCCAGCTCTTCAACAACATAATCTGCCACCTCTTCTCTAAACCTTTGACACTTTGGAATATTGTATCAAGTTATATTTGGATAATTTTATATTGCCGCCAAAAACAGTTAGAGAGGAAGGAAAACAACACTCACCATCTCAAGCAAAGCAGTCCTCTGGCCTGTGTCCCGTCTTTGCTGCTTGTAATACAGCACTCACCGTGACTTTTACTTATCGTATTTTTGCCTTATGGGATGATGTGATGTACAAGCCAGGGCTTTATTAAAACCCTACCCCTAAAGTCCACTGCTATCTGCAACTCACTTTGAAATGCGTTTTTAAAAATATGGCGTGGTGGATGGCTAGAGGGATGGATGGGTATGTGCTAAAGCACCAGGTAACCTGTGGATGGTGGGATGTGGGTGGTGAGGATAGGCAGGATCACTGTGCAGTCCTTTCAACTTGGCTGCACGTTTGGAAATTTTCATAATAAAACGTCGGGGGTTGGGGACGGGGGGAATTACCCTCGACAGTGAACCATTTTAATCTAAAACAGGCTCTTGACCAATGTGGTCCCTGAGGCTGGAGAGTGAGGGAGTCGTGCAGCTTGGATCCGTTTCATTTGGGAAGACTTCCTGTGGAGGGTGGTTTCCTGCCTGCCTGGGCTTAAAACTGGGGCTGTTCATAGACTGGGGGGGTGGAGGGGTGTGCATGCCTCCCTCCCTGGGATGAGCTGTGCACCCTGCTGCCATTTCCCTTCTCCCCACCCCCCATGTAACCCTTGAGCACTGGGCTGCTCTCTCCTGTGGCTCACACATCACACGCCGGCTTCTAGGCGCTTAAGCTACACTCCACAGCCTCCCCCTGGCCGGAGCCTGGCTCTGCTCACCTCTCCCAGAGCGCTGCCATATGCCTCAGCACTGCCTGTGAAGTGGGAGGGCGCTCTCGCCCGGCACAGTATCTGCGGTGGCTGTGAGCCCCTAGGCGAGCAGAGAAGCTGCCAGTTCAGGAGGGTTGGGAGGCTCGGCAGCTCCAGATGGCCCCCCTGCCACCTGCAGATTGCAGACACTACAGAGCAGACAGAGCGGGGATGGGCAGGAAGTAAGTGGCGGGCGAAGAGGCTCTTTGGAGTTAGGTCTTGACCTAAATTGTGGGTCACACTCATTGGTGGTCTCACAGGAGGGGCTGGGATCCAGTGACAAGGATAACTGGCTCCGGTGCGGGAGTAAAAGGCAGGCCCCCACCTCTCGGATGCCCATCGCTGCCTCTCACTCTCCTGCAGGTATCTAAGTGGTGCTCAGTAAATACACATTCTTGGTCCTATTAAGATCAGCCTTAGCAAAATGGCATCAGGAAGGAAAGTATGCTGCAATAATAACATAAGGAAGATTTTAAAATATTAGGTGCCATTCATAGCACCACTTTCTGCCTCTGTTAGTATAGAGAAATGAGACTCCACTAACCCTCAGGCTCCTGGCCCACTTGGAAGATGGTACTCTGCCTGCTTTTCACTGTCCAACATGCACACACATACGCACTCGCTCACACATGCGCCTGCTGCATACACTCACTCTGACACACACACTCAGTCCTCTGAGCTGAGCGATCCCCTGACCTTGATACCTGCAGAGCCTCGGGTGGGTGCCCAGCCCGTCCCCCTTGCAGGCTGTGGAAAGGACCCCTCCTACAAGGGCGGGCGGGTGGGGCCACCCTCAGCTGGGTCTCATCTTGGTTCGGGCCAGCTCTGTCCTCTTTTCTTCTAAGAAGCAGTGGATTCTGGAGTTCAGACTATGGACTCTGGAGCCAGACTCCCCTGTTTGAGTCCTGGCACCATGGCCGCTAGCTGTATAACCTTCAACAACCTTCATCTTCCTGTGTCTCACTTTCATCACTTGTGAAATGAAGCTGATACTGACCCCCACTGCATGGGATGGCTGTAGGAATTAATCAAGCTGAGGCAATCAAGCCTGGCCTACAGAGATGAGCATTCAGTGAGCGCTGTTCAGTGTTAGCTGCTGTTTCTGCTGCTGCTCTTGGCACCTGCTCCTGTGTCCTCCCGCTCTGGGCTATGGGTCCAAGGCCAGAGCAAGAATTCAGTGCCTCACTAAGACTGAGGGACTACAGCTCTGTTGGTTTCCTATTGTGGCTGTAGCAAATTACTACAAATTTAGTGACTTAAAACAACACAAGTTTGGGGCCACCCTGTGGCGTAGTGGTTAAGTTCATCATGCTCCACTTCGGCAGGTCAGGTTTGTGGGTTCAGATCCCAGGCATGGACCTATACCACTTGTCAGCCATGTTGTGCGGCAACCCACATATAAAATGGAGGACGATTGGCAACAGATGTTGGCTCAGGGCTAATCTTCCTAAGCAAAAAAAAAAAAAACCCAACAACAAAACCAAAAAAACCCCACACACAAATGTATTCTCTGAAGGTCAGAGTCTGAAGTCGTTTTCACTGGGCTAAAGTCAAGGTGTGGGCAGGACCGCACTCCCTTGGAGGCTCTCGGGGAGGATCCATGTCCTTGCCTTTTCCATCTTCTAGAGCTGTATTCCTTGCATTCCTTGGCTTTGTGGCCTCTTCTTCCATCTTCAAAGGTGGCAGCATAGTATGTTGCTTCTGTTGTCCCATTGCGCCACCTTCTGTGGTCAAATCTCCCTCTGCCTTCCTCTGCCATCACTATATGGACCCTCATGATGGCATTTAGGGCCCACCTGGGTAATCTAGGAGACTCTCTTCATCTTAGAATTCTTCACTTAGTCACACTTGCAGAGTCTCTTTCGCCACATGAGGCAACATTCACAGGCTCTGGAAATTAGGATGTGGACATATTTGGGGGCCATTACTGACATAACAGAGGCAGGAAGAAGCTCTCCTGGTCCTGTGGTGTGGCTTGGCCAAGTTCTGGACAAACTTGGTGAACTACCCCAGACCCAGCCAGGCCACACAACTGCCCGGGCCCCCTGCTGTCACTCCATGCAAGCACTAGGCCCTCTGTCTGCCCAGACGGACTCTGAAGGCATGGTCAGGTTCTCAGGGTCTCATTCCGTTGGCTCTCCAGTGCCAGGCACATGGCGGGTGCTGGGGCGTTGGTTATGCGTTCGTGTGGGCAGGTCCTGATGTGCTATGTGTGCTTTTAGGCCACGGTGAGTGTCACTGCGGAGAATGCAAGTGCCATGCAGGTTATATTGGGGACAACTGTAACTGCTCAACAGACATCAGCACGTGCCAGGCCAAGGACGGCCAGATCTGCAGTGACCGCGGGCACTGTGTCTGTGGGCAGTGCCAGTGCACGGAGCCAGGAGCCTTTGGGGAGACATGCGAGAAGTGCCCGACCTGCCCGGATGCTTGCAGCACCAAGAGGTAACGGCCCCGCCCACAGCCCCAGCCTCTCACCGCAGCGCAGGGCCGACGCTCAGCCGGCCAGCCTCTCACTCCCCACCTCCCGCATCTTCCACCCACCCGGCCTTGCTGGGGAGCAAAACTGTTACTAACATTAACCAAAATAGCATCTTTGAAACACCGGTTCCATGGGGATTTCATAAGAAAATAAAAAGAAAACAGAACGAAAAAAAAAGGCTGCTATTCTAGTCCTAAACAAGTTTAGAAATTACCAGATTACTGAGTTAATGAGATTAAACTGGTTTTGCTACCAAAATAGCATCTTCTCAGAGCCTTCAGTGTGCTATTGTATATCTCCAAAGGGGATACAGTATGCATCTTTTTTCCGATTGAATTTGATTCCTGCCCCCCCCCCACTCCCACCCCGTTAAGTCTCCCAAACAATGTTTCACAGGCACCCGCATGGGAAATGTTGCTTTAAACAAAACATAATCGGAAGGTACATTGGATCAGAGGGCATCCGACCTAGATAAGGCCTGCCAGAGACAAACTGCCTGGGCTTTTGAATTTTCTGCTCCATTTATACAGATAATGGAATGCTGGCTCTGCACAGCTGATGAATGCAGAGATTGTCTAGACACGGCACCCGGCCTGTGCTGACCCAGCCTTGGGGTCACGTTCCCCGTGCTGACCTCCCCATGGCTCTGCCCCCATGCCCTGCCAGAGTGCGAATGAGAGGGAATTAAAGACGGCAGGGAGTTATGCCTTCAGGAAACAGGAGTGATAGTTTCTCTTGAGTTTTGCTAGAGAAACAGCTGTGCCATCGTCATCCGTGCTAAGGGCCAAGAGGGAGGGAAGCAGGGCACAGATCATCAGAAACAAATAATAAGACAGACGTTGTTTCTCTTTGGCTGGGGAATGCAACTGCAATTTTCTTTTGGCAGAGTTCCCCTCCAAACGTCGGGCTCGGGCTGATAACGCAGTGAATTCGTGCTCCCTGAGTCTGCCCGGCTGCTGGTCAGTCTGTGCTCAGAAATGTTGTTGGTGGCAGAACCCCTGTTGGACATTTGCCACAAATAATCCAGGCGTGGGTAATTGAAAGCTGGCTGCAGATCGAGAGACGAGATAGACAGGGCCAGATTTTATTTTGTGCAATTGGAGGGGAGCCGAGGAGAGGAAGGGAGCAGGAAAACAGATCCGCTTTAGACCTGCTAGGAGTAGAGAAACAACAGAAATCCAAATGGAAACATCCCAGGGGAGGCGGTTAGGATCCTGGACCTAGAACCCGAGTAACTGGCCAGCTGAGCATGGAATCCCAGCCATTGTCACATTTTATGTTGGAGGGAGGTACCCTCCCCCAAATCCCGCCAGCAGAACCCTTTTGAGTGTCTGCTCCCCGTCCTTGGGGCACACCAGGTGAATGGGGGGAGGGGGGAGCCAGGACAACACACATGGCATCAGTAGAAGTCGATAAAGCCAGTTTCTTCCCGTCCCCCGGAGCAATAAGGCAATGTCAGATTGGTTTCGGGCTGTGAAAAGGCCCCATGGGAAAACAACCTTAGCTTTAAATGTTTAAAGCGTTTGTTTCCTAGAAGACGTAGACTCGATAATTGATTATCCGTTAAGCAATACCAAAGGAGCGGGGAGAGCAGAGATGCCGTAGGGAGCCTCACCGTTCCTTCTTCTTCATCCTTGGGCCACACTGACCCTCTCTGTCTCTTTCACAGCCCAGTTGCAATTTTCTTTACAAGAAACAAAGTCCCTTTGATAGTGACTTATATCAGGCTGTTTTTCTACTTGCTGCTTTCCTGAGAGCCACCAGGCTTTGAATATCTTATGTCCTTTATTTTCCTGGGGTTTCTGTGCAACCCATCTCCACTTTCTAGAACTTAACCAAACAAGCCTTTCACCTTGGGTGAGGTCACACTCAGCCTCAGCTGATTTCAATTAAGGCTCTCTGAGCAAAGTCCCTCTCAGCTACTTGTTTGTTTAAAAAGCCAGACCTGTTTTAATTTGTGACCACAGTATAGCATGAGTTTCAACCTAGTATGTGGAGCATACCAGTTAGACTGATATGTCCACATGGATAAATGAGGGAATGTTTCCTGGAAGTGGCCCTGTGGTTTGAAGACAACGGGGGCTGCAGATGGAGGGCAGGGTGAATCCTAGCTGAGCCGGGAAGCAGCCATCTTTCTTTGGAATGTGTTAATCCAGGAGGCTGGAGGAGGGGCCGGCAGGGTCAGCATGACTGACCAGAGCTGCAGCCACCCCTGCCTGGCCCCCAGCCGAGTCGCTTGCCTCCCTTAGGGCTCTGGCCTCAGGGGAAGTGCCAGCATTACCAACTTGTTTGTAACTCCAGAATGTTTTCGTGAAGTCATTCCCAGGAGAGTGGGATTTTGTGGCCGATTCTGGGCTAGTAGAATTCTTGATCATACTAGAACCCTCGTAAGTCTTATCTACTTTTTCTACTCACTTGCCCATTCCTCCTGAATGTTCAGGAAGTGGAGAGAGGACTCGTCTGAGAGGCGGGCACTGGTGCTGGACCCAGCTGCCTTTGACTTCTCTTTGGCCTCATTTTCCTCACCAGTACAATAAGGGGGCCTTAATGAAACGCTCTCTGAGCTTCCTTCCAGTTCTGAGGGTCCAGTCCACAGTTTCTGCCCTGGAAATGTCTAGCTGGCCTCTTTATCCCAAGGGATTAAAAAATGATAACAATAAAGGCGAGGTGATTGTGTATCCCTCTAAATTTTTGCCAGAGAGCTTTCCAGACACACAGCTCCTCTTGTCCCCACAGGGCTGTGGGGTAAGCTGGGCAGCTGTCCCAGGTAGCGAGGCCCAGGAGGTCCCCCTGCCCTCTGGTGCCAGGGCGCGGCTGCAGGGAAGCAGTGGCTGTCCCTGCACACTTGGCTCTCGAGTCCTCACGAGGGTTCCTGAGGAAGTCCCTGTGTCGGGGGCTCTCACCCTCCTTGCGGGCCACCGAGCACCTTTGCCTCACAGAGTTCCTGAAAGTTCATCGCCAGCGGGGTGTTTCGTCCCAGCCCCTTCCTCCCTGGGGTTGAGTTCTCACCCTTCTGGTTATGCGCCCCCATCCCGCAGTCCCCAGAGGGGTCAGGAACCCTCTCTCCCCTCCACAACAAGCTTTCAGACCCTTAGTCAAGGCTTAGCTTCTCTGGCCTCGTGCCCTCACGGGCGTATTCTCTGTGATGTAACTGAAGGCGGATGGAGAAGCTGTGGAACTGGCTGTTGACCATGGAAAGTCTAAATGCTAACTATTGATTGAGCATTTTAATTAAGCATTTTCACACAATATCTCATTTAAACTGTCAGCCTGATGTAGGGGGAGAGGGGCTCAAAGTATATCCTCTGGTTCCTAACCCATTTTCTTCAGAAGGCCCCTGTTGAATGTGGGTTCCCTGGGAGGGGGCCACCACCCTGTAGCCTCTCCCAGAGTCCAGTGTAGTCTGACAGGTGAGTGGAGAGCAGGGCCCTTGGGGAACTGCCAGGTGGGCTCCGTCTGGGAGGACGAAGGGGGCTGGGGCCTGAGAATTTCCAGGATGGGTGTGCTCAGCCCTCACTGTCAGTCAGGATCCCTGGAGACCAGGCTCTGGCCCAGAGGTGCGATTCCGTGGGTGTGGCTGGGTGCAGGCAGTGGTATTTTGTCTTGAAAGTCTCCCTGGAGAGTCCACTGTGCTGGTGGTTGGAGAGCCCGCCCTGCTGACGGTCCCTTGGTGGGCATGTTGGGAACTGGGTCAATGTGCGGACAGCAAGCACTGGCTGTGGGGCTTTAAGGACCCTCTACGAGGCTGGGAACAGTTTTTTGTCACTCAGAAACTTCTAGTTTGGGGCAGACTCCTCAGGGAAGCATTTGACACACTAGAGATGGATTTGGCTCCTGGTATCAGAATGTGAAAGGTCTCCAGCCTGCAACTTGACTTTAGACCAGACACGCCTCCAAACTCACACATGTCCCTCCAGGAACCCTCGGGCCTCCCCATGTAAGAGCAGCAAGAAGGGCAGAGCAGAAACCTTCCCTGAGGCCAAACACCTGAAGACAGAAAGAGATTACAGCCTTCAGGGCCCTGCGGGAGGGCTGGGATGCACTGTCGGGAGCTCAGTTCACGTGTGGAACTGCTCCACAGCACCTAACACCCTCATTTCTTGCCTCTTTTCCAAAGAGATTGTGTCGAGTGCTTGCTGCTTCACTCAGGGAGCCCGGCTGACAACCAGACCTGCCAAAGCCTGTGCAAGGATGAGGTGATCACACGGGTGGACACCATCGGTGAGTGTGCCGGAGCGGCCCTGGGCAGCCGTCCCTTTTTGGATCTTGGCAGACACCTAGAGATTTTCTCCCCCATGGGATGATCTTCAGGGCTGCTTGGCAGCGGGGAGGGAAGTTTTAGCCTTGAGTTAGAAAGCACAGCCTCGGCATCCTTGGCACCATGCTGACTCCTCAAGAGGATGTGGGGAACCTGTGCTGGGGCCTGGGTTCCAGGCTCTCCAGGTTACAAGAGCTCCTTGTTCATAGGTTTCTGTCCCATCGCTGGACAGTCCCTTCCTAGCCACATCTTCTCCCAGGGTCTCTGAGAAGTTGGGGTGTTAGTTTGAATAAGTAATGTTAGCTACTATGACAAACAAATTCCAAGGCTCAATGACTTAAAATCAAAGTCGGTGTGTCACTCCGACTGACTGAAAGTCCAGTGAAGATGTTCCTGGTTGCCAAGGCCTTCCATGTGGTCACTCAGGAACTCAGGCACCCTCTATAGCGAGGTTCCACCCTCCTCAGGGGCCTTGGGATCCTCTCCATTCAGTCAGCAAAAGGAGAGAGGCAGAGTGAAGGATCACACAGGAAGTTTATATGGGCCGGGTCTGGACATGGTGCACCCAACTTCTACCCACTTTTCATTGGCCAGCACTCATCATCTGGCCACATTTAACTGCAGGGGAAGCTGGGAAATGTAGTCATACCTTGTGCCCAGGAAGCAGGGAAACCATGTTTGGTGAACAACAAGCCAGTCTCTGCCACATTTGGCCCCAGCCCAGCACAGCTCCCATGGGCTGCAGGCGGCAGAGGGTTGAGCTCGCATGCAGTCTGGATTGACCCTGGGGTTGAGTGCCACCCCGGCTCTTCTCCTGGTGGCACGTCACCCATTTTGGCAGATCTCGCCCACTCCTCCTTCTCTTGTCTTGCTCAGCAGCCTGCATGTCAGGGCTCTTGTCATTCTAACCAGTTTGACACCATCCATCCAACCCTCTGCCTTTACCTCTGGATGAATGGCTGCCAGTCCATTTCTGACCATGAGGCCACAAGGAGGCTCAGACAGAGCTGCAAAGATGTGTGCTTTTCACCATTTTCAGGCTGCAACCCTACCGTTTCTAATACAACCACTGCCGTCTAGGTGGAGTTTCTAAGGTAAAGAGATGCAAATCACATATCTTACCCCTCTACACATGTGACTGGGTTTGGAACTGGTCTGGAACACTCTAGTGACAGCAAATCAAAGTGACCCTGTGCTGGCACCATAATCCACTGCTGGTGTGAGTGTAAAATGGTGCGGCCACTTCGGAAAACAGTTTGGCAGTTCCCTCCAAAATTAAACAGAGTTATCATACAATCCAGCAGTTCCACTCCCAGATGTATACACAAGAGAACTGAAAACATATGTTAACACAGAAACTTGTATATGAATATTCATAGCAGCATTATTCATTATAGTCAAAAATTGGAAACAACCCAAATGTCCATCAACTCATGAATGGAAAAATCAAAAGTGGTCTATCCATACAATGGAATATTATTCAACCATAAAAAGGAATAAAGTGCTGACACATGCTATGACATGGATGAAGCTTGAAACGCTATGCTAAGTGAAAGAAGCCAGACAGAAAGGGACATATATTGTATGATTCCATTTATATGAAATGTCCAGAATAGACAAAAACATAGAGACAGAAAGTAGATTCGTGGTTCCCAGGGCCTGGGGAGAGAAGGGAATTGGGACTGACTGCTAACAGGTGTGGTTTCTTTCTGGGGTGATGGAAGTGTTCTGGAATTAGATAGTGAGGATGCTTACACAACACTGTGAGTATACTAAAACCACTGAATTGTACACTTTAAAATGGCTAAAATGGTGGGAAAAAAGGCTGGGTACCTGAAAGGGTACTCCACTTCTGAGGCTCCCTTGCTGGCAGCATTGCCCTCTACCTTGACCTCAGCTGCTGCAGACTCCCAGCCCCAGCCGCCTGTCTCCCTGGGCCCTGACTTGCCTCCTCTGTAGACTTCCTTGTTCCTGCCTCCCTGGTCTTGACTGACTGCTCTGGCTAAGTCATGGCTCCTGAGTATGTCAAGTCATCTATTCAGCCAACACATATTCAGTAAGCGCCTACTGTATGCCAGGACTTGAGCTAGATCCAGGGAGCCAGCAGGGAGCTTCCCGAGTCCCGTCTCCTGCCCATTTTCCTGCCCCTGCTTCTGTCTTGCTCCTGGAGGCCTGGCTCACAGCAAGTTCTGCCTGCAGACCCGGGGTGGTTGCCCCCTAACTGGGCCCGCTAGCCCATTCACGGGCTCTGCAGCACTTGCAGCCCATCATGCATGGCTTCCTCTCAGTCTCTCCCCCTGAGATAAATCAGTTGCTTCACAGAGAAGGTTTCTGTTCGAATTCACTTTTTCCTTCCTTCTCCTAGGCTTTGTTCATGAACATGTACACATTTGTTCACGCTAACCCAGACCAGGCTTATGATTGGGGGCCGAGAGAAAAAGTCCAGGCCCTCGTGTTTGATAACCACACTAATTTATCTGGTTCCAGGCTAAAACTCCTTTGAGCAACAGGGTTACACAGGCCAGAGCTGGAAAGCATTTCCCAGTGTTAACCCGCAGCTGGTATTCAGGACCTACTGGCCGTGTCCTAGCCACTCGCCTCCCCTTACTTCACATTCTTCCCTACCTCCTTTCCCTCCTAGATCAATGTCCCCCTTTCCCAGGGGAGCCTTGGAATGCACATAATGCCTGGATGGAGGATTGTGACACCTTCGCCTTGGGTAACAGCTGTGTAGGGACAGGGAGGAGTGGAGGCAGCTTGAGGAGATAGAGTAGTGAGGCCAGTCGAGGTCTGGGCTTGGCCAGGCCTCCAATGCTGGCTCACTTATCTCAGTGCAGGTACCACTGTGGGTACCAGTCTTATCCAGATGTCCTCATCACCTTGTGGGTCTTTTTGGTTTTACATCCCGGGAAGAGCTACTGATGCTTGGCCTCTGTAGCCAGCCCTCAGCCAAGAGGCCTCAAGTATGAACCCTCGCTCAGGCCTCACAGGGGATCAAGACAGCTCTTTCTTTTCTTTACCCCTTTCATTTCCATGGCCAGTTCCACTTACGTGCCTGCCCCAAGCTTCAATGGCTTCTTTGCTTTCACATCGCCCCCAGCAAGCACTTCAGAGAGTTGAAGATTCTCTCTTGCATTCCACAATGGTCCCCACACGTAAGGGAGTGCAGGTTCCCAGAGCAACTTCACTTCAGCGCCTGGGCCCATGATCTTGATGTGAGAAAGCTGAACTTATTTTTAAAGGCCCAGCCTCTCCTTTAAGCCTCTCTGTCTGTACCTTCTTCCTTCTTTGAGGGGCTGGGCTTCTTGCCCCGTACATCAGCGGCTCTGAGTTGATCAGAGACACACTCGGGACATTTCTGCCTGGTTTTCTTCCAGTGAAAGATGACCAGGAGGCTGTGCTTTGTTTCTACAAAACTGCCAAGGATTGTGTCATGATGTTCACCTACGCAGAGCTCCCCAGTGGGAAGTCCAACCTGACAGTCCTCAGGGAGCCAGGTGGGTGATGGCCAGCTCCTCCCTCCGGGGGCTGGGTTTCTGACAGTGTTCCTTGCTCTGTACACATCCCCTGTCTCTCCTCACTGCCCTTTCCAAACTCCAGAGAGGAGGGATACAGTTTCTGATAAAGATCAGGATCTAAGGTCACCCCTATCCGACTGCTAGAGTTGAGAAGAAAGGTGGTTTACATCTGGGGGCCCACTGCTGGGCCACAGCTCTGGGGAGCGTGATTGGGGTGCATAGGAGTACAGGAGGGCCTCATCTTGGAGGGGACGGAGCACAGGGGGAAAGCAAACACACAACACACTTAACCTGCACTACTAATGATGGCGGGAGCTCCTGGGTTCTGCAGGGAGGACGCAGGGTGGGTCTGCATGGTCAGGGCTGGGAGGGCCCGCACTTGCGTCAGGGAGCATCTGGGTACACACACAGCCCTGGCCGGGCCACCGCACTTCCCAGTGTGGAGTCCAAGAAGGGCAGATGGGGTGCCGGCTTCAACATTCCTGCATGCCGCCGTGCTCAGCTCCCTGGGCCACTGAGGAGGTCACCTTCAATCCAAACGTGGACACATGCTTTGGGCCAAGGGACCGATGGCCTTTGGCCTTGGAGGAATTAGGGTTTCTAGCTTGACCGCTTTTGTTCTTCTCTGGAGGGGGGCAGGCAGGAGCATAAAAAGATTTGCTCTCTTCAGTTCACAGCATTGCAAACTGTTTTTCCAAATTGGGCCAGACCACATAATGTGCCTTCCCTGGGCCAGAGGCAGAGGGCAGTGTTGCGGTACCAGCCCGGGATGCATGCCTGTAAGAATGAAGCCTTGTTTCCAAGTGCCGTCTTTGCGGTTCTTTGAAAATAAGCACATTTGCTCCAGAGGGCTCCGCACTAAGGGCTTACAAATGTTGGCTGGCCCCCAGCCCAGCCCCTGTGGAAGTGGCTTCATGAAACCTCCTGCCTGCCCAGTCTGCTCCAGAAAACATTCACATGAGAGCTGAGACGTGGTCCGGCGTCCTGCCCTGGTGACTGGGCCAGGCTGGGATGTGGGTGCTTTGAGTTGGGGAGATGCAGCCATGCACACGGCAGGTGGGAGAAAGTGGGGTGGCCACCAAGGTTCTCGTTTAGACTTCGCCATAGACTTGCTGTGTGGCCTTGGAAAAGTTACCATCCCTCCTTGAATCTCTTACTTTCTGTGCACTGGAGAAACCTGCTTGGCCACCCAATCTCCCAGAAGCAATGTGAGGATCTAAGAGAATGGAGGGGAGACTTTTGGGAGAGAAGTGTACCCTTCATTTCACATATGCCTGAAGTTCGATGCTGGTGGCTTGGCTCACCATGCCTCCTGGTCCCTTCCAGAATGTGGAACCGCCCCCAATGCCATGACCATCCTCCTGGCTGTGGTCGGCAGTATCCTCCTGATTGGGATTGCGCTCCTGGCCATCTGGAAGCTGCTTGTCACCATCCATGACCGGAGAGAGTTTGCAAAGTTCCAGAGTGAGCGATCCAGGGCCCGCTACGAGATGGTAAGCCAGTGGGAAGTAGGAAGTAGAAAAAAATGTCAAGCTTACATGTCTGGTTGAGTTCAAGCACACGATAAAGGCCCACTAACATCTTTGGCATTCAGAACAAACAAACAAAACCTGAAAGGCAGTGCCTGCCGGGTTCTGGAATGTGAGAAGTGCACAGCCCAGGAGCACAGAGGGCCTTGTACAGAGTCCTGCCCTGGACCTAGGCCCAGAGACTCCTGGGGCAGAGGCACTCGGCACAGCCTCAGCAGGAAGAGTCTAGACAGTCTTAGCGACCCAGGAAAGGACCTCGAGTTCTTGTAGTCTGTTAACAGTATCCATATGTGTAAGTCCTATCTCTCCAGGTGAATTGCATGCTCCCAAAGGACTGAGCACAGAGTAGGCGTCCCCTGAATCCCCAGTTAGTTTCTGTTAATTGTAAGGGGCTCCAGAGACCATCTGACCTCACCCCTTATGTTGGGGATAAAGAATGAAAGTTCAGAGAAGGGGAGGCACTGTCCCAGGGCACAGCAAGTTAGAGGCAACCAGTCCTGAGGCACAAGGCTGTTGTTTCCACCTGTGTGTTCGGCCTGCTGCCTTTCTGGGTGACTGAGCTAGGAAGGGCCTCTAACCCTGAGTGTGTGTGTTTCAAGGAACGTACTGACACATATCTTGCTTTCCATGTTCTGTAGGCTTCAAACCCTCTGTACAGAAAGCCCATCTCCACACACACCGTGGATTTCACCTTCAACAAATTCAACAAATCCTACAATGGTACAGTGGACTGACGGCTCCTCAGGGGGCTGGAGGGAGCTGGGGATCAAGTCAGAGACTGACATGCTGTGGACAGCTGCTCGACTCAGTCACGGCTCTCTAGATAGACAAGCACAGAAACCTTCCGGTGAGCCTGGGCTAGGAGCCCACTGCCCACACAGGAAGGCACCCGGCCACGGCACCTGGCTGCTGGGCCAGAGCCACGCTAGGCGCCACCCCTCCGAGCCCAGGAAAGGCCAGGGAACCTTGGCACTCTCGCTTTCCCCACCATATCCAACTTGTCGTCTCGATGAACTGTGGAGATGCTGGGTGGCCACTCCCTTCCAGGAGGGCTGGGCCTCCAGTCTGGCCAGAGGAGAAGGCTTTTGGGAGTGTCAGCATGTTGAAAACTGACACATGGTCTGGCTTTTTTCATGTTGATGATTTTTATATGAAATAAAAAGATGGTGCATTTATGGTATAGTTCTGATTCCTGAGAACTGTCTGCCTGATGTCTATGCCTTGCACATGGGTGTTGGTGATGGGATTATTGAGACGCCTGTTGAAGGCACGTAGTTTGCAAATGTCAATTTTCCTCTCCTGTCTATATTTGTTTAGTATTTTTGTAATGAAAAGGAAAGAGATTGTTTGGGATTGAAAGTAAAGATTAAAACCAAAAGATTTTGTGTTTGCCTGACACTCTACAGCGTGCATGTGCCTTTCTCCAGTGGTCTTGTGTGGTGCCCATGGGATTGAAGTGGCTGTAAACTTCCTCAGGGGACCCAATACAAGCCAGCCCAATACTCCAGACCAGGGCTCATCAAACAGGGCTCCAAGGGGTGCTCAGGGGCAGCTGGAGTGGCTCCACTGAGCAAGTGCCTAGAGTTTAGACTAGAAACTGTGAAGACCACTCCTGGCTTCCCTCTCCTGTTCCCAGCGATAGATTGTGTGGATGAAGAAGGGCCAGGGTGTGAGTTCCACACAAAATCACTTCTTCCACATTATCATCAGGAACAGATCCCTTCTAAGGCCTTCCCCAGCCAAACTCCTATGCCCCAACCAGGCCCAAAGCACAACCCATTTCAGCTTTTTTTTCCCTGCAGGGCCCTGAAGTCCCCTTAGGTTCCCATATCTGAGATGGGAGGGACCACACAGGTGGTTGGATCCTCTCCGCATTTGTAGAAGAGGAAACTGATTGCCAGAGAGGGGAAGTGGCTTGCCCAGGTGTCAGGAGGCTGACTAGTGATGAGCTGGCACTACGACTGGGTCCCACAACCAGAGGGCCAGCCTCCTACTACCTGCTCTTTTTTGTAAAATCTTTCACTAATCATTTTTTGCTTTTGGTACCACTTCGAGGCTTTTGGGCTTTCTTCCAAATTCATCTGTTCCCAGCCTGGGACCAAACTCCCCTTACTTCATTTTGGCAAACGCTAAGACAAATGCCTCTCAGTAAATAGGGCCTGTTACCTGGGGTGAATGTGAGCAGATTCTGAGTTTCTTTGTCCTGTGTAATTAGGGTGAAACGGACCTTGTGATGTGATGAAATTGCCTTAAATCCTTTATGGAATAAAGCCAAATGTAAATAAATATATAAAGTAGATTAAAAAAAACTGTGATTTTGAGACTTTTTTCTAGATTGAGGAAAATATGATTTTGGAAGCAACTTTGGGTTTCTCTTCTCTTTAATTGTGGGTTTCCTGGATTATTAACTTGTTCAAAGGCTCATTTTCTGTCGGGCAGCTATGTAAGGGCGCAGAGTTCTTGAGCCTCAGACACTAAAGGCTGACTTCCTCCTGGCTTCCACCTGATGTGGAAGTGAGGGGTATGTCACCCGACACGACAGTGGTGGATGCAGCCAGCCGCTCACGGTGCCCTGCTGCCCCCTGCTGGAAGCTCTTGGGACAAGCTGTGTGGAGACCTGGCTCTTAAGATTCTGACCCAGTATGTGATTCCCTTCTTTCTTTCCTTAGGCGATTTGGCCATGGCCCCCTGACCCCCAACACAGACAATGGAGCTGGGGCTAAAGGTGGCTGGAAGGCTCTCTCAAACCAAGGGGTGATGCTGCCCGTTCCCGTGTTACCGGACTGTGGCAGCACACAGATGGGAGCGAGTCTTCTAACGCACGGGGACTCGCCGTTGTGTGGCTGCAGTGGCCCTGCAAGGAGCACCTGGCAGTCTCAGGAGAATTCTTGTATCTGTTTGGAAAGATGACTAGTGATGTGCTCATTTGTTCGGAAGAAGAGTGGGTGCTAGTAACCTTTTTTATCAGTCTGTATCGATTTAATACAGATTTCCAAATGTAATTCTTTTTATTGATTTTTTAACAATTTGTTTTAATTGAAAAAGAAATACATGGAAAAAATGGGAAATAAGTCATAAAGTCAAAATCTTTTATAATCATCCCATGCAGAGGTAACTACTCTTGACCTTTTTCTGCCTGACTTCTCAGTCTTTTTTTCTATGCATATATATGCCATTTTAACCCAATTGGTATTATACTGTCACTCTTTTTAAAAGGACTGGGGAGTCTCAGTCCACTTGGTTGACTAGTACTTAGTCAAGCTAAAGTAACTAACAGCCACCTCTTCTGGGGGAAGAATGTGTTTTTAAAATTTGTTTAATTAGGATCAAAGCTTGAGGTTGATTATCATGAAACTCTTGGGATGAATGTCAGGGAACGGTAACCAGATGGGACGATCAGAGGGGAGGAGAGAAAGCCTTGTTCTCTGTGCCACTGACAGACACTGTTACTGACTATCCTCCCCTTCTCTGGAGGGAGGGCTTCCAGGTGCAGGTCTCCTGTGTGCTTCTGAGAAGATGCGCTCAGCTACCAGCAGGGCTCTGTGACTGGCCGAGAGGCGGCAGTGGAGGAAGAAGATGACAGCTGCTTGGCTGAAACTCAGGAGGAGGTAAGCCTTGGACCTGTGTGTCTGAGGCGCCTGAGGAATCCTCTGTGGATCTGTCTAGCCAGCACTGGAGATGCAGACGTGCATGCGTGCACCAAGCAGGTTCTGCCCTGTTGGATGCTGGTCTGGTGCTAAGTGTGCAAACAGTTGTGGCTTTCGGCATGGCTGTGAATGGGGCGTCCCGGTCCCTCTCGTTCGGGTCAGCAGGCTGAGGAGGCTTAGTCGCATCTCTCCCCACCTGACTTCTGTCCCCCCTCAGCTCAGGGGCTCCAGAGTTCTTAGTCGGGACATGGCTCCATTCAGACCTTCAGACCCTCAGTGGGAGATGGTGAAATGGAGGGAGGAGGATGAGACGGTTGAGCAGGCGGAGGTGCTAGGAAGGGGGAGCTGTGCCTGAAGAATCATCCTCAGCCCGCAGGGCTCCTCTGCTGAGCTTGCAGCTCTGGGACGGTCACTGCCCAGCCAGCCCCATCTGACAGAGCCGCCTCCAAGATGGACTGGGTGCTGTGTCACAGTGAGAAGTTCTTCAAATCCGATTTATTTCTCTTAGAGTTCAGTGCCAGGAAGTTCTGGTGCTTCATTTGTCATGTATGTAACCCACCTCCAGTTCTTACTGGGATCCTTGTCCTCTCCACCGACCCCTGCCCCCATCCTCGCCCTGCCTCTTCCCTCCACGCGCTTTCTGATTCTTCTGACAGATGATGTCTGTTTTAAGCGACCTCAAACCCTTGTGGCCAAAAGGCAACATCTAAACTGTAAGTAACCACAGGGTCATAAGCCCTAGTGACCTTCTAGATAGGAGTTCTTCACCTTCTTGGGTCGCGACCCTTTTGGGATTCTGGTGAACGCTACAGACCCCTTGTCAGAATAATGCTTATAAATGTGTAAGTAGGGAACATACTAAACTGTGTATCAGGGTGACTGGTTATCATCTTAGTTTGACTTCAGAAACATGCTGGAAGGCTCACCAGTTAAAGCTTCATTGGTCCTGGGGCCAGCCCAGAGGCGCAGCAGTTAAGTGCGCACGTTCTGCTTCAGCGGCCCAGGGTTCGCCGGTTCAGATCCCGGGTGCAGACATGGCACTGCTTGGCAAGCCATGCTGTGGTAGGCGTCCCACATATAAAGTAGAGGAAGATGGGCATGGATGTTAGCTCAGGGCCAGTCTTCCTCAGCAAAAAAAAAGAGGAGGATTGGCAGCAGATGTTAGCTCAGGGCTAATCTTCCTCAAAAAAAAAAAAAGAAAAAAAAGCTTCATTGGTCCTACCAGCATGGAATATCAACCCCTGAGACTAACACAGCCTCTGCTCATCTGACCCTCACCATAGGCCCACATGATATTCAGGGAAGGTATGTCCCCATTTATAAAGGAGGAAATTGAGGTCAGTCCCACCTGGAGTGAGAGTTGGCCAGTGAGACCCCAGCTCGAGGATCTCTTCCCTAGTTTGCTCTTTCCTCTGCATTGCACCTTCTGCTGGAAAAAGCACAGCTGTGTTTTCTTATCCCAGAACTCTGCAGTGTGATTAGGGAGTCATCTGAGTTTCTGACTTGGAGGCACACATCTCTGCTGAAATAAAATGAAGTACCTCTATGTGCAGACTAAGAAATTACTAAATGCCCCCCTTCCTCTTCTTTGTAGCTTTTTCTCTCGTCTTCATCATAGGAGCAATCTCTGGTACATGCACGTTAACCAAAACTCCAGGTGCAGTTCAAGGAATCTTCCTATTTTAAAAAATGAGGGAAGATGACAACTGACACAAATTTCTTGGCTCCTGGCACAAAAATTCAGTACTTTAAAGACTCCTTTCTGTGAAGGTGACACAAGGGGTGGCCTAGGCACTGCCTCATGGCTTGTTTCCCTGCCAGTTCAGCTAGCCCTACAACAAGGGGATATTCGTATGAGCTGACATGTGCTGATTGGCAAACTCATGTCCTGGCCCATGACCATAAAACAATATTAACAAATCTACACTGAACGAAACACACGGTCAACAGAGAGTTTTGTGGGTCTTCCCTGTGTGAGCATCTGCACGTGGGTGGAGGAGCTGGGCAGAGGCTCCAGGAGGGCCAGGCCAGGCCGGGGCTGCTTGGCTCTCCTGCCTACCCAGCACCGTCTCAGAGGACATGAGGACTGCAGGCTTGATCTGAGGGAGGAGACATCCCCTACTGGACGGACCTGAAGTTTAAAAGGGGAAGAAGGCACGGAAGTGAGGAAGAGGTGAGGCTACGGCCCAAGAGGAGACCAAGGAGTTGGGGGAAGTCAGAGGGCAGCAAGAAGGCAGAGGCGACGGAGGGGAGGAGATCAAAGACTGACTAGGCTGTTTTTCCCTGAGCAAACTTTATGAGATGATAAGAATTTTTAGGCCATCCATTCAGGTATGCAAAAAAAAAATGTAATTTTAAGTGTGCTTTTTGTCTTTCAACTCAACATTATCTCTGCTTCAAGTATGTATCCAAGTGACAGAGAAAACAAAGTTACTAGGTAAATAGGGACAGTCTGTCTTGTTAAACACAATCATTTCAGGATCCTCTCCACATCCGACCCTGGCGGGCTACTCAGTGCACGGAGGCAATGCCGTCTTATGACTTTGGAGGGGAGCTCATGGAGCCAGCTCTGTGCACACTGACACCTGCTAAGACACTGTTGTCCTTATCAAGACCACTTTCCACTGAGATGTCCCTATGTGATGGTTGAGCAACCCTTCAGGTCCACCAGATCTGTTTCTCAGCTAACTCCCATGACCTTTTCAGGGCAGTCTCGCTTCTCTGTCATGACACCCCAGAGCCACAGGAAGCTCAGGCCACCTCAGGCTATGCCCCTGACAAAGGGGGCCTCCAAGGCCACTGCCAAGCTCTGTGCTGAGGTGGGAGTGTCTGGATGGTCACCGCTTTCCTGGTCCCCTCCTAGAAAAGTGGGGCCCAGAGCTCCTCAGCTGTCTGGGTGTCCGTTTTCCTCCCTCCCTCCCTTCCTGGGGTTGGGCCTGGGGTGGGGAAGACCGTATTGCAGCCCACCCAGCCCACCCCAGCATCTGATTCTATCTATCTCCTGTTCCTCTCTCAGGGCAGAGAAAGACTCCTCCCCCCGCCCCCTTGGTGGGAAGGAGAGAGGCAAATGTTCTTCCAAACCAGTACTTACGCCAAAACCTTGAACTCTGAAAGTTAAAAAATATCCTAATTGTTTTGTTTCTCTGTGTTTTCATCATGGCCTCCTTTCCTGAGGTATAAAGGCCAACTATAGACTTGGGAGGGCTACAGAGAAAACAAAGGGATAGCAGGCAAAAAAAAAAAAAAAAAAAATCACTTGATAATTCATACAGGCCCAGATTACGAACTTTAAAGGCCCTAGGATCTAAAAAAGATATGGCATCCCACATTGTGTAATCCAAAATAAAAACGGTATTTAATAAAATAGCATTAACTACAGTCATGCACTGTACAACATTTTGGTCAATGATGGACCACATATATGATGGGGGTCCCATGAGGTTAGTACCATATAGCCTAGGTGTGTAGTAGGCTATACCATCTAGGTTTATGTAAGTACACTCTATGATGGTCACACAAGGATGAAATCGCCTAATGATGCATTTCTCAGAACGTATCCCTGTTGTAAGTGATGCACGACTGTATAAAATAAATGTAAAGAACCACAAGAAGTCCTGATTTTTCTCATACTTTTTAAAAAACATATCAGATTCCTTCAAAATATATTTTTTTGCATCTTTGCTTCGTGGTCCTCTTAGCCCATGCTTAGTCAACCTATTGTGTGCCCTGATGTGTGCTAATAACGTGATAGCATATCCACCTGTTAAGGGGTGCAGGAAGCCATTGCAGAGTTCTTGGGGTTACCCATTATCATTTTCAATGATTGATGTTGGGCTTACTGTGTTGAAATGCAGAATGCACACAAGAACCAAGCCGTTGTTTCTTCAAGAGAGATCACTGAAGGCAGCCAGAAGTGAAGACTGGAAAGGCTGAGGGAAGGCTGATTCTTGGTGGAATGGTGGTTGTCTTCCTGGTAACCAGAGCTGGATCTGGGAGAGCTGCGGCACGCTGTTCAATGTGTTAGTTTGCGCCTGCTGCATGACAAACCACCTCGGAAGTCCATGGCATACAAGCAGCAGCATACGTTATCACGCTCACAGTCGTACAGACCAGCTGGGGCACCTGTGCATCAGGCTGCGGAAGGCTGGGGTGTGCTCTGCTCTACTTTCCTTTATTCTTCTGGGACCTGTGAGCTAACTTGGGCATGTTCTTCTCATGGGAGTGGCAGAAATGAAAGAGGGGTGAGCAGAAACTCAGTGAGCAGCTCAGAACTGGTACCCCGTCACCTCCACCCACATTCCATCGGCCAAAGCAATTCCATGGCCAAGCCCAATAACAGTAGACTGTGGACATATTCTCCACCTTGCATGGAAGGAACTGCTGAGTCACTTGGCAACGTGTATGGATTCAGGGAGGAGTCGATGGGGACAATGATAGAACTGCTACTCCAGTTTGGGCACTTTCTATTGAATCCTGGTAGCCATGGAAGACTGCATCTCTTGAGTTGCTACTGATAGGAAGGAAAGACTGGCTGATGTCTCTTAATGATAGTATGGAAATCCTTTTGAAAGTTTAGTTTAGAAACTAAGTTTCATAATGACCAGGACAATGTACGTCTAGTTCACCTCCTGTGTTCAGTAAACACTTCTTGATCCAATGATTAAATGGTGAAAGAATATTATATGTGTAGCTACGTATCTGTAAATAGATATAGGGTAAAAAAGTGGAATTTATCTACCCATATAGAATGTGAGTAAAGAGTTTAATAACAAAAATACCAAATTGGAGTCAAGAGACAGGGATTCCAGTCCTTACTCTGCTTGTCATTACTTCTGACACCTTGTGAAAATCATTTCTCAATGGGCCTCAGTTTCTTCATCTGTGAAATGGGATGACTGATTAGATGATCTCTAAGGGGCTGATCAATTTCAGTTTGCTAAGATTCTGAGCTATAGTCACCACTTCATTTGATGACAGACCCCACGTCTATCGGCTAGATACACCTGCTCTACCTCTGCACGCCCAGCCTCCACCTGACCAGTCCTTTAAAAGGCTCATGCCTGGACCATCTCACTCACCCACGTGGACGTGAGGTGAGGCACTGAAGTGCCCATGAACAGGCTGCAGGGGGGCTAACACACACAGTCAGGCTGCCTCAACCCGAGAGGGGGTCATACGGCTGGGCTCAGGATAATTGGTTCTGACAGTCCTCTCTCCTCAGAGCCTGGGAATGTCACTGTCTCCAAGCTCCCAGTGCTACAGATGACAGTCTGCTACTAGCCTGGTTCCTTTTACTTTCCAAGTATTTATTCTTCTGGATGCTTGTAACAGTTTTTATCCTTGAAATTCAATACTTTGTATAGGCTATGCCTAGGTGTATGCCTTTGCCCGTAACTCCAGCTAGAATTTAGTGGACCCTTCTAATCTGCAGACTCTTTTCCCAAACTGTGGAAATTTTCCTCAATTACTTCTATAATTATTTCCCCTCCTCCCATGATGTTGCCTTCTCCTTATATTCACAGATTTGAGTCTGAGCCTCTCCTCTACTCCATTATTTCCAGTTCTTTGACCCTTTGTGTAAAATTTGATGATTTCTTCCACTTGATCTCCCAGCCCACAAACATAGTTCACAATATTATCATAGCATATTTAAATTTTTCCATTAAGATTTCAAATTTCAAAACTAAGGGATTTTTTTAGTTCCCCAAACAAAAAATTGTGTCTTGTTTTTGTCATTTTGGTCTTGGAAGCGTGATGTTATCTGTTTCCTGGGGCAGCGCACTCTCACCAGAAGCCACTCGTGCTCACATTCATTCAGAAGCACGTGTTGGGCCTTGATGGAGGTGCAGAGGATACAGCAACGAACACAACAGCAAGACCCCTGCTCTCTTGGAGCTTACACCTGCTCCCGGTGGATTTCTTCACTTTCTGCCCCTGGTAGCTCTAGTTCCTGCGGGGGGGGGGTGGGGGTGTGTGTGTGTGTGTGTGTGTGTGTGTGTGTGTGTGTGTGTTTTCTCTCACACACACTCCTCCCCAAGTCCCGAGGCTCACTATTGTTCCTTGCTCCCACCTACCTTAAAGGAGACAATACTCTGCACTTGTCCTCTTCTTTGGGGATCCTGGCAGAGTGAGCTCACGCTTCCAGGCCTCTCCTGCATGGTCCCAGCAGACGTTTTGCTCACTAGCAGTGGGAGAATGGGAGTTGAGAGGACATTAAAGATGACCTCAGGCTGCCATCTTCGCCCTCTGGTGCTTCTTCAGACACAGTAGACACTCCCCAGGGGCTCCTTTAGGGAGCTTTCCCTACAGAGATGACTCACATCAGCACGAGTGAGGTTGAGAGTCGGGACTGAGACTCCAGGCCTGTGTCAGCCATAGGCTGGCTGTGAGCAGATCCCTTTACCATTCCAGGCCTGTATCTGTGGCCTTAGAGGAAGGGCAGCCAGACAAGGTTCCTGAGGTTCCTCCAGCAAATTGAGCAGCTTGTGCTCTAAATGCCTAGAGTATCAGAAGAGGCCAGAGGACAGAGTTCTCACTCCTTTAGTCTTACGGATGTTCTGGACACCCTGTGGGGACTGTTCCCATGTTCCTCACTAGGACCAAGTGTTACAATGCTCAGAGCTCATGCTCTGTAAATATTCCTTGACCAAGAAAGGGCTAAACTAATGCCTCCAAAATACTTCTACACTGAGTAGCAACACCCTCATAGGCCCCAAGACAACCCAAGTCCTTTGGCTAAATCCATTTGTGCTCCCAAGTTTTATGACTCCAGACTGCCTGGGCTTTTGCTTAGATAAGAGGCCTGTAGCACTGGGCTGATGCTCAAGAAACCCGAAACCACCTGATGTACCTGTTAGAAATGTGGATTTCCAGGCCTCAGGTCAACTCTGCTGGAGCAGAATCTCTGATGGTGGGGCCCAGGGATCTGCATTTTAAACCTGTGGCAGGAGACAGGTGATTCTCTGATGCTCCTCTGATTTCCCTTCAAGTTACCTAGCAAGGGCCCCACGTGACCTGCAGTACAGGCAGACCTGAGATACTGTAGGTTCGGTTCCAGAACACTGCAATACAGCAAATATTGCAATAGAGTCACACAAATTTCTTGTTTCCCAGTGCATATAAAAGTCAAGTTTACGCTATACTGTAGTCTATTAAATATGCAATGGCATTATGTCTAAAAAACACCGTACATAGCTTAATCAAAAAATACAGTATTGCTAAAACATGCCAACCAGAATCTGAGCCTTCAGTGAGTCGTAATCCTTTTGCTGATGGAGGGTCTTGTAAGAAAGGCAGTATCTGCAAAGCACGATGAAGCGAAGCATAATAGAGCGAGGTATGCCTGTAACAGAACAGGTGGTGCAACACCCTGGGGTGGCAGGAGCTCACACTTCTGACGGGCAGGAGTAGGTGACTCAGCAGGAGGAGGCGGACCCCAACAGCCTCACTGCAGAAGAAAAACGGGACTAACTAGAGCAGCGGTTCTCAAAGTGTGGTCCCTGCTCCAGCAGCATTAACATGGCCCAGGAACTTGTTAGAAACACAAATTTTCAAGCCTCATCCTAGACCTACCCAGAGTCAGAAAGGCTGGGGCTGGAGCCAGTGTCTGCTTTAACCAGACTCCAGCTGACTCTGACTCAGGCTGACGTGTGCGAACCACTGACCTAGCAAGCCCATGAAGCGGGCACTTGAGACCTTAGCACGTCACTCCGAAGGTCTCTCAGCCTCAAGGTCACCTAGACTCTGGACACACTCAAGAGGTTTCCACCAGTTTTTATTAGAAAATGTTCCTCCTCGTCATCTTTCAGTTCCTCCAGGGCAGCCCTGAGGGCCACACCCTGTCCTTTTCCTTCTGGCCTCATTCCTTGATCATTTGCCTTTCCCAGCAGGACTTTATCTGGAGATGCAGCACTAGGATCTGACGCTCAACCTGACTTTAGGGCAAAAGCTCTTAAGTGTGGACTCCAAGAGGGAAAGCCATGAAAACCTGAGTTGAAATCCCAGGCTTCCATCTGAGTCACCAGGAGAACGGGGCAGCCAGGGACAGGAACACCTGTCACCATGAGGAAAGGGCCAGTGTCCTGACACCTGCCACAGGGCCTGGAGGCATGGTACAGACGAGAAGGAAAGGCAGATCATGAGTGTGCTGGCAGAATCAGAACAGAGAGCCTTCAAATGCAACTGCCACACTGGCCCTGCTCAAAGAGGGCCTTGAATGTGCAGTGTGGGGCCATTTCAGTGGCCACCTGAGCCCACACCCTTCACTCCCCTTCCTCCAAGAGGCTTCCTGAGTGGACCAAAGAAACAGAGAAATGGGGAAAGTCTGTATCAGTATTGGGGAACAGGGACCACTTAGAAACTCAGGAATTCCTGGGAGAAACAGTGCGTCTGGGACCAGGGTGAGGAGAGCATTGCCTGACTGGTTATGCCACACACGTGAAGGTGGGGCCTGTGAGGAAAGGCTGCCCTGGGGCCACTCAGCGAAAACACCAGCAACGTGGACAGCACTGTCAGCTCTGCTGCTGGGCTCCTGTCTCTTTATTTCTAGCGAAGGCTGATTTCCCTCTGTCAACAGTTGGGACAATGATGTAGGATCCTCATACAAGCCTCCAAATGGGACTTTTGACCCCTTGACACTGTTGTCTTTTTAGATAAATAAAGGAGCAGCTTGTCCATTTGTAATCCAAATAAGACAAGAGGAAGCTGTGACTGCGTTTTAGCACAGGTCCACGGCTGCTGCTCAAGGGAAAAAATGAGTCGGAACGCGTGTTGGAAATGCAAGCCAGATACTGCTTCAGGGGCTCAGCTAACATCATCTCAGCCCTGCCCACCATGCACCCTCTGCTGAGTGAGCAGCGGCAGTCCTGGGAAGCAGCACCATTGGATACCTAGACTATCACTTTTAAGCAGAAGAGGAGGAGAATACCTAATACTTAAATATTATTTCGGCATCACGTTAGACATAGAATAAAGGATACAAGAAATGTACTGCTTTAAGCTTAATGTCCTAAAGTTTTTATATCACAGCCATTAAAAGAATCAAAAGTCTGATCTAGGGGGCTGGCCCAGTGATGCAGCAGTTAAGTGCGCATGTTCTGCTTCAGCAGCCCGGGGTTCACCGGTTTGGATCCTGGGTACGGACATGGCACCGCTTGGCAAGCCATGGTGTGGTAGGCACCCCATGTATAAAGTAGAGGAAGATGGGCATGGATGTTAGCTACGGGCCAGTCTTCCTCAGCAAAAAGAGGAGGATTGGTGACAGATGTTAGCTCAGGGCTAATCTTCCTTAAAAAAAAAAAAAAAAAAAAGTCTGATCTAGAGATAGGAGGGTTCCTGAAATGTGGAAGAGACCCTAACACAGAGAGGACTATGAGTGCCTAACCAACATCAGCCTCAATAAAAGAAAGTGTGGAAATGAACTTAGTGTAGTAACAATGCAGGGATTACAAGTCATTCAATGTTTCCTAAGGACCACGGTAACTCCCCAAGTCATTCCAACACAGGAACCGTGGAAGAACCCAAGCAGTATTAAAGCTGCTTATTATTTCAATCTCAGGAAGCCATGTATCTTCAAGGCCTTCACAAAAACGTATCTGAGACACTCAAACACCCAGTCTACTCAGATAAGCTTCCCAGGCAGCTTTTCTGTACATCTCAGCCGCTTCCAGACGATTGGCTGAAGTTGTTATGCCCCGGCCTACAATGATGATATCAGAGCCTCGTTTGCCAATAACTTCTTGTGGGCTGCTGTACTGTTGGCCGAGATTATCACCTGCAAAAGCAGAAAGGTTACTGTTTAACACAAGACAAAAAAAATCAGAAAACCTGTCCCATGACTTTTCTGCAAAAGTATCTAAACGGCTTTAAATAAAAATATGCTCTTGTATTCCATGCTTCTTCTACACAGTGAGTAAAAGCAGGTGACAGACTCCTTGGAAGGGCTGGGCCAGTGGCGTAGTGGTTAAGTTTACACGCACTGCTTTGGCGCCCAGGGGTTTGCAAGTTTGGATCCTAGGCACAAGACTGTGCACTACTCGTCAAGCCATGTTGTGGCAGCATCCCACATACCAACTAGCGGAAAACTGCCACAGATGTTAGCTCAAGGATGACCTCCGTCAAGCAAAAAGAGGAAGATTGGCCACAGATGTTAGCTCAGGGCCAATGGGCCAATCTCCCTCACCAAAAAAAAATGGAGACTCCTTGGATAGGCCAGAGACCTCCACAGTGGAGAAACATGCTAACGAACTCCTTCCCAATGTCTACTTTTAGAGCATTTATAGTTTAACAGTATCAAAACACAAAGAAGTACATCCCCCAAATTGCCAACAAAGGTTTAACACAAAAAAATAAAACGCGGCCTCACAACTGAAGATAATTTTAGGATACATCTCAGAATCACTGTACCATACTGTTGGAAAAGTCCTCACAAGGAGTCTAACCTGACCATGACCCGAGTGGGAAACTTTGTCACAACCCCATCAAGTGCTCAGACTATGTAAAACTTTAATCCTTAAGTTTGGCTTTTCCGTTCTTTTTTATCGAAGTGTAATTGACATATAGAATTAGTTTCAGGTTTACGGCATGATACTTCAATATTTCTATAGCTTGTGAACTGACCACCACAGCAAGTCTACGGAACATCCTTCACCTTGCATAATTACAAAAAATTGTTTTCTTGTGGTGAGAAGTTTTAAGATTTACTCTCTTAGCAACTTTCGTACATGCAATACAGTATTATAAACTACAGTTGCCATGTGGTACACTGCATTCCATGACGACTTCATTTTATAACTGGAAATTTGTACCTTTTGACTCCCTTCACCCATTTCACCCACTCCCTATCCCCTGCCTCTGGCGACCTGTTCTCTGTATCTATGAGCGTGGTTTTTTGGGGTTTTTTTTAGATTCCATAAATCAGGGGCCAGTCCTGTGGCCAAGTGGTTAAGTTCACATGCTCTGCTTCAGCAGCCCAGGGTTTCTCTGGTTCGGATCCTGGGCGCGGACATGGCACTGCTCATTAGGCTTGCTGAGGTGGCATCCCACACAGCACAACTAGAAGGACCCACAACTAAAAATATACAACTGTGTACCGGGGGGCTTTGGGGAGAAAAAGGAAAACTAAAATCTTTAGATTCCATGTATCAATGAGATCAAAAGGGATATATCATTCTCCAACTTATTTCACTTAGCATAATGCCCCCGAGCTCCATCCGTGTTGTTTCAAATAGCAAGATCTCATTTTTTATGATGGCTGAATAATAACATTCCATTGTGTATGTGTATTATATATACACCACAGGTTCTTTATCCATTCATCCATCAATGGACACTTAGGTTGTTTCCATATTTTTGCTACTGGAAATAATGCTGCAATGAACACAGGGATGCATATACCTTTTTGAGTGAGCATTTTCATTTTCGTTGGATAAATACCAAGAAGCAGAATTGCTGGATCATATGGTAGTTTATTAAAAAACTTTTTGAGGAAGCTCTGTACTGTTTTCCATAGTGGCTGCACCAATTTACATTCCTACCAACAGTGCACAAGGGTTCCCTTTACTCCACATCTTTTCCATTTGTCTTTCTGACAACAGCCATTCTGACAGATGTGCGGTGATTATCTCATTGTGGTTCTGATTTGCGTTTCCCTGATGATCAGTGACATGAAGCATCTTTTCATGTGCCCGTTGGCCATCTGTATATCTTCTTTCAAAAAATGTCTTTTCAGATCTTCTGCCTATTTTTAAATTGGATTGTTTGGTTTTGCTGTTGAGTTGTACGACTTCTTTATATATTTTATCAACCCCTTATCAGATAAATGATTTGCAAATATTTTCTCCCATTTAGTAGGTTCCTTTTCCTTTCATTGATGGTTCCTTTGCCCTGCAGAAGCTTTTTAGTTTCATGTGGTCCGACTTGTTTATTTTGCTTTTGCTGCTTTGGCTTTTAATGTCAGATTCAAAAAATCATCACCAAAATCTATGGCAAGAAGCTTACCGCCTATGTTTTCTTCTAGGAGTTTTATGGCTTCAGGTCTTACATTCAAGTCTTTAATCCATTTTGAGTTAATTTTTGTGGATGGTGTAAGATACTGATCGAATTTCATTCTCTTTGCATGTGGCTGTCCAGTTTTCCCAACACCATCAATTGAAGAGACTGTCGTCTCCTCCACTGTATATTCTTGGCTCCTTTATTGTAAATTAACTAATGATATTCACATGGGTTTATTTCTGGGCTGTCTATTCTGTTCCATTGATCTATGTGTCTGCTTTGATGTCAGTAGCATTCTGTCGATCACTATCAGCTGTTTTGATAGCTTTGTAATACACTTTGAAATCAGGGAGTGCGATATCTCCAGCTTTGTTCTTTTCTCAAGATTGCTTTGGCTATTCAAGGTCTTTGCGGTTCCATACAAATTTTAGGATTGTTTATTCTATTTCTGGAAAAACGCCATTGGAATTTTGACGGGGACTGCATTGAATCTGTAGACTGCTTTGGGTAGTATGGACATTTTAACCAATATTAATTCTTCTAATCCATGAGCACAGAATATCTTTCCATTTATTTGTGTCTTTTTCCATTTCTTTCATCAATGTCTTACAGTTTTCAGTGTACAGGTCTTTCACCTCCTTGGTTTAATTTATTCCTAGGTATTTTATTCTTTTTGATGCAATTGTAAATGGGATCGTTTTCTTTTCTTTCTGATAGTTCATTATCAGTGTATACAAATGCAACAGATGTTTGCATACTGACTTTGTATCTTGAAACTATACTGAATTTATTAGTTCTAACAGTTTTTCCATGGACCCTTTAGGGTTTTCTATATATAATAATATCATGTCATCTGCAAATAATGTGACACTTGTACTCCTTCCTTTCCAATTTGGATGCCTTCTGTTTCCTTTTCATGCTCTGGCTAGGACTTCCAATACTACAATGAATAAAAGTGACAAGAGTGGGCATCCTTGTCTTTTTCTGGTTCTTAGAGGAAAGGCTTTCAGCTTTTAATATGATGTTAGCTGTGGGCTTGTCATATATGGCCTTTATTATGTTGAGGTACGATCCCTCTATACCCATGTGTTCAGAGTTTTTATCATAAATGGATGATGACTTTTGTCAAATGCCTCTTCTGCATCTTCTGAGATGATCATATGATTTTTACCCTTCATTTACTTAACGTGATGTTTTGGAATGACTGATTTGTGACTGTGGAACCATCCTTACATCGGTGGAATAAATCCCACTTGATCATGGTGTGTGATGTTTTTAATGTATTATTGAATTCTGTTTCCTAATATTTTGTTCAAGATCTTTGCATCTATCTTCATCACGGATATTGGCCTGTTATTCTCTTTTCTTGTGGTGTCTTTGCCTGGTTTTGGTATCAGGGTAATGCTAGCCTTGTAAAATGCATTTGGAAGCATTCCCTCTTCCGTTTTGGGGAAGAGTTTGAGAAGCACTGGCATTAATTCTTCTTTGAATGTTTGGTAGAATTCACCAGTGAAGCCCTCTGTTCCCAGACTTTTGTTAGTTGGGAGGTCTCGATTACCACCGATTCAATCTCCTTACTAGTCATCAGTCTATTGAGATTTTCTATTTCTTCATGATTCAGTCTTGGTTGGTTGTATGTTTCTAGAAATTTATCCATTTCTTGGAGGTTGTCAAATACATTGGTGTATAATTCTTCCTAGTAGTGTCTTATGATCATTTGTATTTCTGTGGTATCAGTTGTAACCTGTCCTTTCTTTCTGATTTTATTTATTTGAGTCCTCTCTTTGTCGTGGTGAGTCTAGCTAAGGGTTTGTCAATTTTATCTTTTCAAAGAACCACTGCTTAGTTTCATTGATCTCTTCTATTGTCTTTTTAGTCTCCACTTCATTTATTTCTGCACTGATCTTTATTTTCTTCCTTCTACTAACTCTGGGCTTCATTTTTCTTTCTCTACTTCCTTGAGATATGAAGTTAGGTCATTTGAGATTTTTGTTTCTTGAAGTAGACATTGATCCCTATAACCTTCCCTCTTAGAACTGTTTTTGCTGCATCTCACAAATTTTGGTATGTTGTATTTTCACCTTCATTGGTCTCATGGTTTTTTTCTCTTTCGATTTCTTCTTCGTCCTGGTGGTTCAGTAGCATGTTGTTTAGTCTCCACATATTTGTGAAGTTTTCAGTTTTCTTCTTGTAATTGAGTTCTAGTTTCATGCCTTTTTGGCCAGAAAATATGCTTGAGTGATATGATTTCAATCCTCTTAAGTTTATTAAGACTTGTTTTCAGGTGACCCACATATGATCTATCCTGGAGAATATTCCATGTGCACTTGAGAAGGTGTATTCTGTTACGTTTGGATGGAAAGTTCTGTGTACGTCTGTTAAGTTCATCTGGTGTCACTGAAGGTCTATGTTTCCTTGTTGATTTCCTATCTAGATGATCTATCCATTGATGTAAGTGGGGTATTAAAGTCCCTTACTATTCTTGTAACACTGTTTCTCCCTTAACGTTTCTTAACATTTGCTTTAGACATTTAGGTGCTCACATGTTGGGTGCATAAATATTGATAAATCTCATATCCTTTTGTTGGACTGACCCCTTATCATTACGTAATGCCCTTCTGTCTCTTAGTACAGTCTTTGTTTTAAAGTCTATTTTGTCTGATAGAAGTATAAGAACCTCAGCTTTCTTTTGGTTTCTATTTGCATGGACTATCTTATCCCATCCCTTCACTTTCAGTCTGTGTTGTCCTTCCATCTGAAGTCAGTCTCTGGTAGGCACCATAGAGATGGGTCTTGTGTTTTGATCCATTCAGCCACTTTACGTCTTTTGATTAGACCATTTACATTTAAAATAATTGCTGTTAGGTATGTACTCACTGCCATTTTGTTAACTGTTTTCTGGCTGTGGTTCCTCTCTGTTCCTTTCTTCCTCTCTTGCTCTCTTCCTTTGTGGTTCAATGATGCTCTTTAGTGGTATGCTTAGATTCCCTTCTTTATATCTTGTCTGTGTACTATAGGACTTTGCTTTGTGGTTACCACAAGGCTTACATATAACAACTGATATCCATAAGTCTATTTCAAGTTGATGATAACTTAATCACATTTTCTAAAGCTTTACATTTTTATTCTCCCGCCAACATTTTGTGTTTTTGATATCACATTTTACATCTTTTCCTCTAGCACATCCCTTAATTATTATACAGTCACGTGTCACTTAACGACAGGGATATGTTCTGAGAAATGTATGAGTAGGCAATTTTGTTGTGTGAACATCACAGGGTGTACTTACACAAACCTAGATGGTATAGCCTACTACACACCTAGCCTATACGGTACTAATCATATGAGACCACCATCATCCATGTGGTCTGTCACTGACCAAAACATCATCACGCAGCTCATGACCATAGTTATTCTTTTTACTACTTTTGTCTTTTAACTTTCAAACTGGCTTTCTAAGTGATCAGTCCACTACCTTTACTGTATAGGTACCTTTCCAGTGAGATTTAATCCTTCATATGCTTTCTTGCTACTAATTACTGCCCTCTCTTTGCAGCTTGAAGAAGCCCCTTGAACATTTCTTGTAAGGCTGCTTTAGTGATGATGAACTCCTTTAGCTTTTGCTGGCCTGGAAAACTCTGGCTCTCCTTCAAAACTTTGCCAGGTAGAGTTCTTCGTTGGAAGTTTTCTTCTTTTAGCACTTTGAATATATCATGCCACTCCCTTCTCGCCTGCAAAATTTCTGTTGACAAATATGCTGACAGGCTTATGGGGATTCCCTTGTACATAACAAGTTGTTTTTCTCTTACTGCTTTTAAGATTCTCTCCTTGTCTTTAACTTGACATTTTAACTATATATGTGTCTTGCTGTGGGTCTCTTTGGTTTCATCTTACTTGGAACTCTCTGGGCTTCCTGGACCTGAATGTCCATTTCCTTCCCTAGGTTAGGGAACTTTTCAGCTGTTATTTCTTCAAATAATTTTCCTGCCCCACTCTCTATCTTTCGTCTCCCTTTGGGACCTCTATAAAGCAAATGTCACCCTGGTTTAGGTTGTTCGATAAGTCCCTTTAGTTATCTTCACTTTTTTTTTTCATTCTGTTTTGTTTTTGCTGCTCTGATTGGGTGAGTTCCACTGCCTTGTCTTCGAGTTCACTTTTCCTTTCTTCTGCTTCATCTAGTCTCCTGTTGAACCCCTCCAGTGGATATTCCAGTTATTGTATTCTTTAGCTCCTTGACTTCTATTTGGGACTTTCTTATATTTTCCATCTCTTTGTGAAGTTCTTTGTGTTCATCCATTCGTCTCCTGAGTTCAGTGGGCATCTTTACGATCGTTACTTTGACCTCTTTATCAGGTAAATTACTTATCTCCATTTCATTAAGGTTTTTTTCCTGACATTTTATCCTGTTCTTTTGTTTTGAACATATTCCTTTGTTTCTTCATTTTGCTTGACTCCCTGTGTTGGTTTCTATGCCTTAGATGAAACAACCACCTCTCAGGCCTGAAGGAGTGGTCTTATTTAGGAGATGAAACTTTCTGTTCAACCCTGCCCTAGTTCTTGGTTGTCTCTCAAACCTTTGTGATTGTCTAAGCAGCCTATTATATTTCTAATAGCTCCCAGTAGCCAAGGGTGTGCCAAGACCTATCAGTGTCCCAAAGGGAAGGATCTCAGTCAGCACCTGCGTTCAGGCTGATGGGAAACCAGAATCCTGAGACATGAGCCTTGATAGCATGCAAATATATACAGTCCTGCAGGACGGCAAGCATTAAGCCCCACTGGCCACCAGAGCTAGGCTATCTGGAATTGTCCCCTTGGCAAAAATCAGGGCTTCAGATGACTGTTTAAGCTCTTTCCTGGGAGATACCACCATGCTATAGTAAGCTAGAGGGACAGCAGAAAGACGGCCTCTACTAGCTTACATTCCCTGAGAACAGCTCTGTAGGCCACAGGTGTGTGCCAAACCTGAAGCCAGCCCCTCAGCCCAAATCTCTAGGACAAGCAAACAGACTCTTTCACAGAAAGACTGGGGTGTGTTTCAGTTTGTTGTCTGTACAGTACCCTGGGGGTGGTAATCTGCTACGAATTGTCTCTCTGATTGTTACAGTCCTGTGGGACCCAGGAGCAGAAAGCAAGATCCCCTGGGTACTAGAGGCAGGTGATCATGGGCTGTTCCTTGGGTGGCAGCTGCAAAAACTGGATCACCAGACGTACAAACCAGTGCACCAGACATGTGGATGAGCTCCACTCTGGGCGATACTGCCACTCTGGAGTGTAACAGAGGGAGAGCATGAAGACAGCCCCTGCCCTCTAAGGTCCCTGGAAAGCATTACAGTCAGCCCTTAGATGTGTGTTTAATTAGAAGCCTGCCCCTCAGGCTGTAGCTATGATGAATAGCAAACAGGCCTCTTTCACAGAAAGACTGGTCTGTTGCCTCTTGCTGTGCCCAGGGGTGGTAGCTGTTTAGCAAGTCTTTCTCCATTGGTTACTGTCCTGTGGGACTCTCAAGCATAAGCTTCACTGGCTATCAGAACCAGGCCATGTAGAGGTGTCCCTTGGTGGCAGCTGCAAAAATAAGGGCACCAGAAAAGGGTCTAAGCTCCTTTCTGGGAGAGAGCAGCAGGCTGGAGTGAGGCAGAGGGGGAGCACAAACACTGCGTCCCTCAGCCACTGTTCCCTGAGAGTACTTCCAGAGGCCGCTAGATGTGTATAAAACTAGAAGCCTGCCCCTCAGGCCAAAGCTCCTGGACAAGCAAACAGGCCTCTTTCACAGAAAGACTCAGGGTGTGTTTCAGCTGTCTGTCCAACGTCCTGGGGGTGGTTGCCTCCCAAGAGCTGCCTCTGCAACTGTTACAGTCCCATTGGACCCAGGGACACAAGCTCTACTGGCCTCAAGAGCCAAGTGATCCAGGAGTGTCCCCTGGGCAGCCCCTGGAAAAACTGGGGCACCAGACGTGTAAAAGTAAAAGCTCCCATCCAGGAGACACTGGTGTTCTGGAGTGCAGCAGAGGGAGAGCATGAAGATGGTGCCCACTGGCTATAGCAAAGTAGAGAAGGAGTGTGAATATGGTGCCTGCTGGACAAAGGAGGGGGCGGGGGGAGGGAGGAAGGGGGAGAGAGAGAGACAGAGTAAGAGAGAGAGAGAGACAGACAGACGGAGGGAGGGAGAGAGGGAGAAAGAATCTCTGGAGAGGGTTGGCTAGACTAGGGAAAGAATGGTGTGAAAGAGGGTTGGGTACGAGTTATACAAGAATGACTATAGTCATTTAATATTTATTTATAAATATATGTAAATAAATATATATAAATATAAATATATATTTATAAATATATAAATATATAAATTTATTTAAATATGTTTTGAACTTTTCACTGTAAAAACAGAAACTCAGAGCTGTCAAGGTGACAAATTCCACTGAGGAGTGATAAGCATAATTGTCACCATTTTAAATAGTTTTGCTAACTGAGAACCCTACTATTCACAGTTCCAATCTCCAACTTTTTAAGCCTAACCCATAAAAAAGGAAAGAGAGAGAAAGTGGGATAGAAGAAACTCCCATACCTGTGATGAGCAACCTTTCTTGCACAACTGCCAATTCAGGGAAAGTAAAATGTTTCCAGGTCATCATTTCTGCCCCATTCAAAACCGGAGCAGCTTTACTGAGTCCCATTGGACATTTAAATATGCATATTTTTAGAACTAGACTACTCTATTGACTAGAAACTATCAAGGAGAAAAGACACACTTTGTTCGTCACTACAACTGCAGCTCTCAGACTGCAGAACGCGTTATGTGTTCAAATAAGTTTGGGAGACGCAACAGAACCATCTATCTCCACACTGGACAGTGACAACTCACATTAGCCCATCAAAGGCTCTGCGACGTCCTCAACAAAGAAACAAATGTTTGATTTCCCTCAGCCCTGAGCATCCTTCCTTGAGCATGGAACACTTTTTTGGTAGCACATTCAGAACATCAGTTGGGAAACACTAAACTCAAATATCACTTTTCTGGGCATATTTCAAAAAGTAGCTTTCTAACTCTTCATCCTACAATTAGACTGCAAGTTATTTGGCATATCGAGGTCAGTATCAACAGGCAAAGGGCTCATTCCTTACTGTTCTGGACAAACAAGCTTTCTCCTTCGCAACTGTATAACACGCAAGATTTTACTTCACCCTGGCTGACTCAGGTAAAAAATCATTTTGGAAGAACCATGACCAATGAACAGATTTACCTCCTGCTTCTAACTGAACTCCTGGAGTCAAGTGAAGAAATTCTGGTTTCATGCTTACTCGGGAGCCAGAAATAAAACCAACCACAAATTCAGGATGCTCCTCAGCCATTCTAACCTAAATGGAATGTAACAGGACAGATGACAAGAGAGCAGTTAATCACACAGAGTAATAGTTGCACAAATAAAGTAAAAAATTGACTCTATTAACTAGTAAGAAACTTTGCTATTTTATACATGCCTTTTCTGATTTCGTATTAAACTCACTATATCTACAACATGTAATCTTAGAGATGAATCCACATGCTTGCTCCATCAAGACCATGAGATAACCCCCTCTCTCCCCTTCTCCCAATTAATCATACCCTAAAAACATTAAAAACCCATACTATGTGTGTCTAAAATCTAGATGCCGCATAATTATTTGTAGTAACACTTGGAGGCACACTAACTTCCAAAAAGGATATGAGGAGAACTTTCTAGAATACATTTATAATGGTATGAAACCACACTGAAGACTTACTGCCTATATAGGGTACTCCCCATCCAAGGACGGCCACCGTATAAAAAACAGTTACACTGTCAAGAGCTAAAGAAATCTCCCCTTGGTCACATTCCTTATTCTTTAAATTTGTCAACAACCGGTTTTCACAATTTCTATACCATGACCTCATATTCAGAGAAGTTTCTCTAGAAAGTCTGTCTAACTTTCTAATTTGGCTCTTCTCTGAGGCTCATCTTGTTCTATTCTTGTAGCAAGTACTAACACCTGACAACAAGTGATACCTCGCCCTTGAGCCAGACCCAGTCTCCCACAAGGCCAAATATGAGCACTGACTCACGGACCCTCTGCTATGGGAGTTGGGAAATGACAGACATTTATGGTCAATTCAAAGGTGGGGTTAAAACCTGGCTCTAGGGCTATGTGAGTTCTTCACAGTTCCATAGACAGTCTCTGAAATAATATGAAAAAGTAAATTCCCATATAAAAATTAAAGTTTCTTAAAATAAAAACTCTCATCACTTTAAAAAGTAAGAGTCTATAAAATATCTGGAAAGGTGATCTATCCACCTTTCTAGGTGACTATCCAACTAAGAAACCTAGACGAAAATGTGAAGAGGAACTTTTTAAGTAGATAATTATCCATCTCACATTTCATCCTGGTGTGCAGGGTTGAGGGTGGGATATTAACATGCATGGTGTTACAAGAACTTTTAATGGGGAGTTACTGGAGGAAACAATGTGTGGACTCTAAGAGCTTTCCCACACAATACCGATCAATATCAAAGGCTGAAAGAGAGAAAGCCCTTCAAGTGGGCTGCTGTCAACAAGGCAGTCTCTGCGGGGCTTGGGAGACTGAGAAACTGCAAAACTGCAGGTCTGGGAAGAAGCCCTTCAATTTCAACTCATGGTGAGATGAACAAACTCTATCTTAAAGACCAAGTAAGTAGAGGTCGAGGTTTATTTGACCAAATATCTGTGTTTCAATGTTTCTCTCTTGGAGAAAAATTCAAATCTCTTAAGGGCCCACTGCAAGATATAAAATACTATTAACTATCAGGGAATTCTGGCCAACTAGTATCAATATACTGTCACACAGACAACAGCTGATGTTTTTTGGGCAGAGGTTCTATAGACCTCTGCCTAATTAAGACATTTTCTTCCCCTGGAATAACATATAGCAACACAGCCCTGGCCTTGTCACCCCAGCCCTGTGTTTCTTACCACTGCTTCAGTGTAGTTCCCAGTGGCCAAGGAGCCAGCGGAGCTCATCTCTGCAACGAGCAGGCACCCTCGGTGCAAGGGCAGGCCTACTTCTCTCAGACCCTTCACAACTCCTGAGCCTGGCACCACATGAGCATTTACAAGATCTGCCCAGGAAGCTATTTTAAAGACACCACCTAAGAAGGAGGGGGAAAAAGATACTTGTCAACTTTCAAACAGAAACCATTAAGTTTTTGCCCACCAGCCAACTATAGTATGAAATAAGCTCGTAGTAACACATTAATGAAACAGTGAAACACTGAAGAATTTTAGTAAAAATTTATCTGTCCACCCAGTAGCTAGTTGAGAGATCTCAATGAGAAAAATCTCTTTCAAGTTCTGCACTTAGTTTAAAAGCAACACTGATAAGACCGTTTTGCCTTGAAGGCTGAAGCTTATGACCAGCAATAAAATGTACGCAATTAGAAATGGACTGCGGTGAAGATGGGTGTTTACTCAAGTCAAAGATCTCAACATTCTCAAATTCCTCTGAAGATGACAAATTCTCATTCTAGAGGGATTTCTCAGCGACTTTACTATCTCTCAAAGTGCCTACTTGTTCCTCAGGTCTCTTTAGGTCTTTAAATTTCAATAGGCAATTGTATTCATTTTAAATGCTGACAGCAACAATCCTGATTTTTGAAAAAACTATATGCAAAACTGTAGAAAGTTTGTATATCTCTTATATCAGTCAATAAACTAAGCGATGTGATGATGGTCTGACATCTTCAGCACGTAAAGAAAGTCATGCACAGACAAATCTATCCTAAAGCCATAGCTTAAGTGTACACATGCATTACTTTAAGAAAAATTAAGTTATCTCAAATGATGCCTGTAAGTGTTAAGTAACTTGATAAAATGTCTGGTATAAAGTTAAGTGAAAAAAGCTTTAGATATATACATGACAGAAATTTGCATAGAAAAATGGGTAGAGAATCAAGCAGTTTTTTTAACCAACATAGTCTCTACTTCCAGTTCCTATTTAACATAAAAATTTTTTTAAAGAGATATATATACACACACAGATCTTTTTCTGCAGAAAATAAATCCTACAACTTGATACTTTTTTCATTGTTTCCTATACCTGCAATTTTCATTCTTCAAATATTCAAAACTCATTGTATTCTGCCACACAGAACAACATGTGTCAGTCATTTCTCCCTGCCTAGAACCCAAGTCCCCTTCTTCCGGCATCAGCACAGCTATCTTCTTTAGGGGAACTCCCCCTGAGCAAATCTCACTTCAAGAAATTTACACAAACTTAAAAACCTCACAGCACCAGGGGTGGGGCATATTACCCAGGCGAGTAATAAAGGTATTCCATACCCCAGGCCAGAGCGACTGGTTTGGGGTAGCATGAAGAAGTGTGCCTACCTGAGAAAGAAGTCAAGAGAGAAGAAGGCAGAGCTGAGAGATAGAGAGAAAGCAAGTCCAAACGACATTGCTTGAGCTCCTGGATCCAACCATGCTTCACAGCCTGTTCTATGGCTGGACTTTCAGTAATGTGAGCCAACACATTTCCTTTTTTTCTTCAGCCAGTTTAAGCTGCATTTCTGATTCTTGCAGATTCCTGAATAATACTTACCCTCATACTGCTTTTTTACTGTGTTTCCTATATCTGCAAATTTGCGGTCTTCAAATATTAAGAAGTCATGGCGTTCTGCCAGAGTTGTTAACTCCTTCATCACATCCAGAGTAAAATCATTCAAAATATCTACATGAGTCTTGAGCATGCAGATGCTGGGTCCTAACACATCTGCTAGCTGCAACAGCTCTCTGGACTCGGAAATATCAGCAGACAGACACAGATTGGTCTCCTTCTTTTGCATAAGCCTGAGAAGCTTCGAGGCAAGTGGGTGGGTGCTTGGCAGCTCTGCACGTGCACCAAAGCTGAGTTCTTTAGGTGCTTTCTTGACAGAAGGGAGAGAACCATTAAGACTAGGGAGAGAACCATTAGGATTAGCTGCCACAAAAACATTCTCCTGAATAAATCTCTTCACTCTCTCGACCATCTCAGGATTAATCTTCTTCTGTTGCTCAAGAATCTCTAGCACTTTGGACACTGTACACACCGAGTGGAGACGAATCCCATGCGCCCGCAGCATGTCCTTGCCTCCTTGCTCTCTGTCCAGCAGCACTATGGCATCGGTGACCTTTAAGCCCTCCTTCTGAAGAACCTCCACAGTCTCCAAAACACTAGATCCACTGGTAACGACATCTTCAATGATCAAACAGGTTTCTCCTGGATTAACAGCCCCTTCCACAAGTTTCTTAGTACCTAGAAAAGAAAAAATTATGTTGATTCCAACTTACAATTATATATTTCAGCCAACTCAGATGCATCTTGCAGTATAAATCTGGCAAGTATCTATAAAGACAGGGATGATCTAAATCTTATTTTCTGATACTCTACTTGGGAGATACGTTATCTTCATTTCTGACAAATGTTTAATGTGCCATGACTGCCGTTTCATTCAGCGTCTCCACATCCCAAAATTGTCAAAATAACATACACAGAATATTTACAGTAAAACTAGCAAACCATTGTGCAGTATATATAAACACCACTTAACATGTTTATGATCACAATTTTAGATATGGGGTTTCTTAAAGCAAGATCACCTGGATCAAGGAAAGTTACGAAACAAACAATACCCCAATATCATCAATGAAATTATTCCTTTCTCCATCAACAAACAAGTTCGTTACTCAAGATCACCCACACAATAGGTCTTTTGAGGGTATAAATTCAGGAGGGAGAATATTCAGCAATCATTTAGACCAATTACCACAACTTTATGAATTATATAGTGCCACGTGACTGAATATACTTCCCTTCTCCAACTCCCACCACAGACTATTTTCAGATAATCTACAAAATGTAAAGAACTAAGGTTGTAGACTTTACAGACTCATTTTTTCAGAGATTCACTTTTATATTTCCCACTTTCAAATTTGTCTTATTTTGAAACAGAAATAGAATTGGTGGGCTTTTGGCCCACTTTCTGTGCTTTACTACAGGTACCATCTTTGCCCTTTCCTATTCCTTTTCTCTTACCTCCTTTCTTCCTTTGAAGAACTGCCAAGTTTAACTGAATAGCTTAGAGGAGAATACGACGCTGCAAGTATTTATAGGCATATTTAAAAATTAATGATCTTTTTCTAAGAAATATTTTTGAAGACATATAATAAGGAAATAGAAATATTAGTTTCCTTACAGTCAGGGATTCATATAGATAAACACTGTGCCATCAAGCAGCAAAAATATCTTTTTTTTTTTTATAATGGAGAATTTCAAACAAATAAAACTAGACAACATAGCATAACGAACACCCATAAATACAGCACCTTGCCACTTAACAACGCATGATCGATTTTATTTCAGTTATGTCCGTCCCCCAATAATTTTTATGGGCAAATCCCAGATATCATATGATTTCATCATAAAAATTTTTAGAATGCACTTGGAAAAGGTAAGGACTCTTAAAAAATATATAATAAAAACACTATCACATCAAGATAAACAAAAAAAACCTCAAAAAATAATTCCTTAATATCATCAAATAGGAAGTCACTTCTACTATTTTCAAATTGATTTGGTTTTAAAGCAAGCCCACATGTTTAAAAACATCCACCTGATAACCTACTGCCATGGGACCATAAAAAAATTAGAATTTCATGTGGCATTTATATTGCTTTATGAGAGTAATTTTATTCATGCATTTCTCCTTATGCAGTTTAAATATAAATATAATAGGAAAGCAGGTGCCCTCAGAACATTCTGATGAGGGAAGGGCTGGTAAACACCTTGGGTTTCAAAGATACGGTGCAAAAAAAGCACGTTTTCCCACTGCCTAATCAATACAAAGCATTTCACCTCTAGACTCTAAAGGAAAGGAAGGTGATTTACAGCAACAGTAACCAATTACACAGGCCTTAACAACTTAAATGAGCTACAAAGACTATTAAAGGCGACTCTGGTAAAACATCAGTGTCCAGAAGAAGAAAAATTCTAACAGTATCAGGTGACATATCAACTTAATGCTTATACTACTTTTATTTTACCATAATTCTTAGTTTCTTTCCTTCTAATAAGCATTGGAATTTCGTGGGTTGAACAGATAACTGTAGCCAATGGCAAAGCTGTGTAAGGTACTCCACACACACTGTCAAAACGGATCCCCGCATCTTGGGCACTTTGGAATAAAATTTCTGCAATCTGCAAGAAAATGAACACATAAACTATCCATTATTATTACTATTCTAAATGATGTATAAATCATGTAACATTAAAGACAGGAATCGCCCAGTAGGAGAGAGTCTCAAACCCGACCAAAAAAATATAAATGCCTTTTTGTTAAAGTACTCTCTCCTAAATCCTAGTTTACAAATATAAATATAAAAACACAAGAATGAGGGGGCTGGCCTAGTGGCGTAGTAGTTAAGTTTCCATGCTCTGCTTTGGCGGCCTGGAGTTTGAAGGTTCTGATCCTGGGCACGGAGGACCTACACACCGCTCATCAAGCCATAATGTGGAAGTGTCCCACATACAAAACAGAGGAAGATTAGCACAGATGTTAGCTCAGGGCTAATCTTCCTCACAAAAACAAAAACGAAACACAAGAATGAACCTACTTGGCTAGACTCAAGGTCTCCTGTGAGGGCAACATGGGACGTATTAGGGAAGGCTACGCTATTGTCCCCAGAGACTAAGGATGGCCCCTAGGCTTCCTGGTTTCCCTTAGTAATCCATTATTCTTTGAGTATCTAAACCTTTCTATCACCTGCTAGTTAGATTTTCTGCCTAAAAGACATCTTCAATTAAGAAGTTTCATCAGAAAAAGAAACATCCTTTTACAACTGCATCAATAAAACGCCTAGGAATAAATTTAACCAAGGAGATGAAAGATATGTATAATGAAAACTATAAGATATTGATGAAAGAAATTGAGGACAACACAAATAAATGGAAAGACAGTCCATTTTCATGGATTGGAAGAATTAATATAGTTGAAATGTCCACATTACCCAAAGCAATCTACAGATTCAATACAATCCCTATCAAACTTCCAATGGCATTTTTCACAGAAATAGAGCAAACAATCCTAAATTTGTATGGAATCACAAAACCCGAATAGCCAGAGCAATCTTGAGAAAGAAGAACATAGCTTGAGGCCTCATGCTCCCTGATTTCAAACTACAGGCAGACCTTGGAGATATTATCAGTTCAGTTGCAGACCACCGCAATAAAGGGAATGTTGCAGTACAGTGAGTCAGACAAATTTTTTGGTTTCCCGGTACATAAAGAAATTGTGTTTACACTACACTGGAGTTTATTAAGTATGCAATAGCATTATGTCTAAGGAAAAAAATGTACATACCTTAATTAAAAAACACTTTACTGCTAATAAAATGACACAAAGTGAGCAAATGCTGTTGGAAAAATGGCGGCAATAGACTTGCTCAACATGGGTTGCTATAAATCTTCCTTTGTTAAAAAACGCACAATAAAGCAAAGCAAAATAAGGAAGGTATGCCTGTATACTACAAAACTACAGTAATCAAAACAGTATGGTATAGGCATAAAAACACACAGATCAACGGAACAGACAGCCCAGAAATAAACCCACGCATATATGGTCAATTAATTTACACCAAACGAGTCAAGACTATACAATGGGGAAAGGACAGTCCCTTCAATAAATGGTGCTGGGAAAACTGGATATACAGACATACAGAAGGCCAACAGACAGATGTGGTGAAGGGGAGCACTTATATGGTGATGGACAAGAAATAATGTACAAATGAACTTCACAATGATGTAAACTATTATGCACTCAAAAAAATTCTGTTATCATTACAATTGTTATATAAAATTAATTAAAACATAATTTCCAAAATTTGATAGAAGCATTAAAAAGATTATTTTGGAAATGCATTTCTTAGTAAGATGAATAGTACCTTCACCCCTGCCCCCCACAATTAGTTTATTTACCATAACTGAATATTACTTACTACTGGGAAGTTGGAGTTGAGTGGAAGTTCTATGGCGTTTTTTAGCTGCAAATATTGAGGAACTCTATTCACATAAATAACCAGATATGAAGGGAATTCTGCTACAGCCAGGTCTCTCAATGTTTTGAACTCCCTCCAAGTTAATTACCAAAAATCACACAGACACACACACCCTCCGAGAACTATTACCAAAAAATAATTTTAAGTCATCTAGCAACTGACGACTTGTTAAAAAAGAAATCAACTTTTCATTAGAAGATCCCCCGTCATTCACTTTCTCAGCAGCGATGAGATGCACCCTAGCAAGATTCTGGATGGTGAGAAGAGTCCAACCCACTTCAACTAGGGCTTCAATCTTTCTCATAGTAACCCCACAAGGTGGGGTTGACAAAGGGTGAATATAAACCCTCAAGTCGTGGGGGAAACACACATCTTCTAGACAGAACTTCTGTGATGATGGAAATGTTCTCTATCTGCACTGTCCAATATGGTAGCCACATGTGACTAAGTTAAAAATCATAATGTTCACTATGCACACGTGGCTAGTGGCAACTCGACTGGAGAGCACATTTAGACCCTTCTCCTCAAAGTGTGGTTTGTAGCTTTCGCTGGCAGCTTGTTAGAAATACGTCACCTAAACCTCTGGCCCGGATCTACTGAACCAGATTATGCTTTTTCACAAAATTCCCAGGTGATTCATACATCCTCAAAGTTTGAGAAGCACTGTGCTAGAAACCTCTAATTTGTACAAAGATTCTCCTTATAGTGACCGAAAAACTGCCTCCATGAAATGTCCACCCTCTGGCCTGAAGTCTTGCTCCCGGCCACACAGTGCCAACCTAACCCCCCTTTCCAGGCACAGCCCTTCCCAAGTATTGAACGGCTACTCAATTCTCCCCCCACCCCCCTTTTCCTTTCTTCCCCAAGTCTCATTTTCTCGAGGGTAAAAACACAGAACTCTTTCGACTACTTCTGTTAGAGACAGGGCCCCAAACTGGATTTCCTGACTCTCTTGCAAACCACGTGTCAAAGCTGGTGGGCCAAAGAGCAGGCTGCTCTCTGGGGCCCCAAGAGCCTACCAGTTCCCGGCCTCTGGGCTTCTCGAACCCGCTCCCCACGCCGACATTAGAGTCGGCCCGCCCGCTGGGCTCGTCTGCTCTCACCCACGGCCCAACTGCTGGAACCCCTCCTCCATCTGCTGGCCCCCATTCCCGCCACCCGGCTTGCTCGTCCCTTCCCCGAGCTGACACCTGGCTCAGAAGACGCGGTCGAGACACGATGCCCCGCAGATCGATGTAGACGGGGGAAGAGAGCCCGCTCTTCAGCACGAAGTTCCCAAACTTGAAAGCCTGCGCGTCGTACAGCACCGCTACCAAAGACCCCAAAGCTGAGACACCGGGCGCCATTACAGCCTGCTCCCAGCTCGCTGCAAACCCCAAAGGGCGCATGGCCCGCGGTGCCCTGCTGACGTCACCCGAGTCCCGCCCCTTCCGCCCCTTTTTCCGGCGGCTGGGCGAGCTCGCCGCGCGCGCCTGCAGGACTTGCGTAGCGAGAGTCGGGTTTCTGCGGTGAAGCGTGTCACGGCTTTGTGCTTCTGCCGGCTGCCTCTCGATGGCATCGCTGGAGTTTAAATGTCCGAATAGGACCGGGATCATAAAGTCAAGCCTCTCAAGAGAGTTTGTATAAATCCCGCCCACATTTTGTAGCTCAGTCTCCTCTTATCTCCACTCTATGACCGAGCACGTCCTGTTATTACCCGTGACTCCTCCTTACCCCCGCTTCATCATATAGAGTGTAAATTCTCCAATACCAGGACTCAATACTCTTGTTACTTCGTGATGTCTGTCACGTGACACTGTCATAGCAAATTGCACTTGGGACTATAAAGCGCTTAGGTAATTGTTTATTACCTCTTATCGGGCAGGATGCATTCTGGAGAAGGAAGTGTTTATTCTGGTTAGAGTACTTCAAGTTCTTGGAATGTACTAACAGTGCAACAGGTGAGGAAGAGAAGGGAGGAGAGTAGAGGAGGATGAATTGATCGGTGTCAAGGTTATCAGGAGGATAATCTTGCCAGCCAATCTGAAAATCTAAGCGTATTTGTTCTATACAAATAAATCCCTTAAAGTGGGGGAAATCCTCATCACATGTAGAAGGCAATACCTTAAGGAAAATAACCCTTAAAACCGTAGGGCTCATGGTTGTTTCTCAGCAAATTGATTCTGATTTCATTTCTCTATTTCTATATTGTTTATATATGTCCATATTTTCTCTGAAGAGATTGTGCTGACCAGCCAATGTGAAGAGCCCATGCTTTTCACAGTTGTTTCTCATTTCAAATAAATGCAGTAAAATCTTGATCAAATAAAACACAAATATTAAAACATTTTTGTTCTTGTTGACAAACTAGTCAAAACACTTCAGTCTCTAACACTCTAGTTGACTGACAGTGTGCTATGAATTAGTCTCATTTGCACTGGAGTGGCACACGTAGACTCTTTCAAAGCCTGGTCATGTCTGTGTAGATTAATCCAGGCCCCTGGAATCCACACTATAATACATAAACTTGTAAGATCCAGCCCAAATGGCCTGCGAGTTCTAACAAAGTTGCCACGTGAAAGACATGAAGTTAACCACACACACCTGAGGCTTACTCAGCAAGTTGACTAGAGAAATGCCTTAGAAAATTTCTCTGGGATACACAGTTGTGGCTTTCTTTCCAAACTCGTGGGCAAAAAGTGCTGTAATAATAATGTGATATATTCCCTTCATATATATGGATGAAGAGAGAAAAAAAAATTTTGTGAACAAAGGTTTTAATTAGAAAGAAAACGAAAAGACTACCAGAAATATCTTGAGTATAGTATATTTATAGGAATGCATAACTTGTGAGATGTACATTTTGAAGTTGCATCCATAACTCATAACATTTACTGTAGTAATAATAACAAGACAGCAGGTCATCACTTTACAACATTACACATGAATGATTTTGACTTACAAATAAAATATTTACAACTACCTTTACAAAACGACATTGTGTGCATACAAAATGAACAACTGCAGAAAAATTTAAAAATAATAAGACAACCAAAAACCCAGAAGATACACTTAAGGCAGACCAGCAAGACACTGAAATAATTAAGGCTGTGGAATTCTTCTGCACCTTGAAAATATAGAGCTATTTATCAATACTGTGGAGTGATTTTAAATCAATTGTTACAAGCCTGATGGAAGCATGTACTTCTATGTATATGTGTAATGGTCCCTATGGGGAAACCTGTCCATTTATGGATAAGGCCCTTTATCTGAATGGCCAGAGAAGCCCACCCCAAACTCTCAAAATACTTGGTGGGGAAGGGATCGCTCAAAACCAAAAGGTGCCAATGCAGTTTGCAAACCAACTATTAATAATTCAACTATAAAGATATGAATATAAAGACTTCAGGTAAACAGAATAACTAAAATAATGGCCCCATTATGTTTCAGGCTTTGTTTTTGGCTTTGTGGACTTCAAAAGGGAACAAATAATTCCCAGATGAGTGAAACTAACTCTGCCCATCAGCCCTAATGGTTTTGAATGTCCCTAAATGGTTTTCCAATAGAAAAACTGACCCACCTGGGCTGTCTTCACATGGATAGATTTCTGCATATGAGCAATAACATATACATACGTATTATACACTATATACATGTACAGATGTACATATATCCATATTTTCCAACAGTTTGCACTTTGATCACTACTGTTATCTGACTACGATCTCATTCTGAAGACTCCAGTTTTTCAGTCTTCACATTTGTCCTAACTACTAGTTTTACTCACCTTCCCCGTAGAGTAGGCTGAAGTTTGGCAGAAACAGAAGTAAAAAGCACCAGGGTCAAAAAAATCAAACACAGAGATGACAGATATGGCTTCAGTTAGTAAGAGAAGATGCATGTTTTGTTCATTTCAGATTCATAACCACAGTCTTTGAGATCGTGGTAACAGTCTCCATAATACTCCAGGATGTGGTACGTTTCTTGATAGAAGTCAGGCATTGGTGGAACTCATGTTAGCTGTTCCTGGGCTGGCAAATTAGCTTGCTTCAATTAAGCCTCAGGAGTTGGGACTCCAAGAATTATTTGCCCTTTTCCCCCACCACCTTCCCTTTTCTCAGCTGTCCTCACTATCTGAAATAACAGTTATCTGAAGAAACAGTTAATCTTGATCATTTGAATAAAACCAAACCTGACCCCATTTTAGAATCTCCCAGCAAACAGGCTGACAGGAAAGCACAATAGCCTATGAGTATGAATTTCAGGCTTTCTATTAAATGTCCCTTAAAGATGAAAATTTGTCTTAAAGTAATTGCTTTTTCCTCTCCTCTAACTTCTCCATATACTGAAAATGAGGAAGAAATGCCTTTCATAGAAAATATGGCCTGTGATATTTCTGTGTTATATGTCTGTATAGATTTCTCACATGAATAATATTTTCTATTAAAAACCTCTAGTGCTGTGGACAAATTTCAGCCCTTTTTAACCCTCTAGAATTAATGAAACAACTCAGAGCCTTGTAGATTTTAGAAAAGAAATATTAACATGGTAGCTTCGCTTGTCTTAGTGGAGTATGTGTAAACCTTATCTTTGCTAACACCACCCCAGCTTTAATCATTCATTTCCAAATGCACCCTAAAGCTTAAATAGTTAAGAAAAACCATAATGTAAATAAGTCAAATACTGTGTTTGCCCAACTCAGACTTCATAGCCATGCTACCCAGGAGAGAAAGGAATAAGGCCCACATTTCTCAAAACTGAACAAGGAAGTGGTGAGTCTGCACTTTTGCCCTATTCCAGAAACCCCTTGTGTTTGAAATAGCTCCACCTCTAGCAAATGCATGGGACAAAGCTTTACTTAATACACGGAAATAACCATTAGATAGTTTAAAACATGTTTTCTCCCTCGTCTTCTCACAAATCTAAATGTCCATGCTCTTCCACCATAGGCAAGAAAAAAGGTAATGACTAAGTCACAGGCACTAAATCATAGAGACGATAGGACAGCAAATATGCAACTCCTGAAACACCTAATTATCTAAAAAAAGGATCCAAGATTTTCCCTCCAAAAACCAACAGTTCAATTTTTTACCTGTGCATTTAATTTGCCTCTTATAATAGAGGCCTGTGAGACTCTAAAGAAATGAGTTGTGATATCAGAAAATATTTTATTCTCACTTCTGCCCTCCCAGTGAGGAGAGTGGCTGTTTGGGTTTTTCTCTGTCAATTTTTCCAAAGCATAAAGCTTGAGAAGGGAGAATGGCAGTTGCTTTGGGGGCATCTTACTCTTTGCGTCTGCCGTAAGATACACTGGAGAAAACAGTTTATTAATATAAGCTGCATCAGCTCTCCTACCCTTTTTCTGTAGACAAGCTTTTAAATGATTGAAATTACAGGCTAAGACCAAATAACATCTAGACAAAGAGCAGCTAGTACTTCCAATTAAAATCAGTTTAAAGAATTTAATCCCGTGAGTTTACAAATAGTATCTAAAGACATGAATATTGAAAACCTGGAATGTTCAAAGTCACCATCAATAAAATTCTTCGCACTGGCAGTGTGTAGCACTTTAAAAGAATCAAAGTGTTTTCTAGACATCCCAACAAAGGTGTTTTTCCAACATTCCTATGAGATTAATGTCCTCCCCTCCTTCTCCACAACTCCCATTTTAACAATGGGGACATTTGGGGCAGAAAAAACACTTTCTGTAAGAAAGGACGAATCAGGAATAGCTGAGGTTGAAACTCAAGAATTCCTAGGCTCCCCCATATTCAGATGTTTTCACTTAAAAGATAGTTTAAAATAAAGAGAAAATGCTGCACTATCAGTTAATCTAAATACAATGAACTTCTTTATCTCCCATCCTCCCCTCTAAAAGGCACTACTATTTATAAAGCCTTTGTGAACCACAAAGCGGTGAATCCAGCTTTTCCTCTGCTTCCTCCACTCTCCCAAGAGTGTGTGTAGCCGTGAGAGACCCGAAGGACACCTCCACCGTGACAATTTTGTTCTTAAAGTTTTTCCCACATTCAGCTGTAAGTGGCTACAAATCTATTTAATTTGAAACAAATGTAAAAGATGCAGTAAGTCATTATACCTTTTCAAAATTATTATGGGTTGTCCCTGATCTTTTCCTCCTGTCTGCATCCCACCCTTACAAGACAAAACCCAAAACACCTCCAAACCCCATTTAATGACTATGAGCCACCCAAGAAAAATGTGACTTTAACCAATATTTATTTTTCCCATTTCAACTGGAAGCTTACTCTCACTAATTCCTAGTTAAGTTTTGATTTCAAGAACTACCATAATTATAGTAGAAATGGACCATTTTCTTTTCTCTCCTCTCTTCTTTACCACAAAGTAATCAATCTCTCCGCCAAAACGGGTATATGAAAGTGGGTCCTACTCCTTCGGGCCTCACCACAGTTGCCCACAGAGCAACTCAAGTACATTTCCCAGCCCTGTCTTCTGGGATTCCTTGTTATTTCCAACTTGCTATGGAGAATTCTTGAACCAGGACAGCTATCTCATCCCTGTTGGGAGGGACCAGGAGCTTTGCAGACAGGGGACCACCTGTTAGTTTTCTCCAGTTATCAAACTATATGAAATATACACCCTTTCTCTTGGGGCCTTTATTAAATTCATTCTATTCTAATGATTGTACTTTGGCTCCAATTAACAAAATCATACTGCTTTTCATTTCTACGTCACTCCTTTCCTGTCTCCTCACTTCCCCAACATGTGTATTGGGGGAATTCCACACTACTTCACATCTGGACCATCTCAACTCTGATAGAAAAGCTGATATCAAAGCTTGGGCTCTAACATTCTGTCCAACACCCTCCCCACAACAAGATTTCATTAATGCTCTCCTGTGCAACCTGTGCCCCATTGCCCTAGGCCCCATCCTTCTCAAGCAGAAGCTCAGCATGTCTCCTAGATGGTCATAAAAACTCAACATGATTCAGCAGGGGGCTCTGTTCTCCACAATGGATGGAACAGAACTTGCCACGCGTGCTTTATGGATATTTGGAATCCTCAGCACCTGCAATCTATCCTATGACAAGCCCTATGGACCAGGCTTTCTTCTTTTATGCTGTATGTCATAATGAAGACATGTTTACTAAAAGAGTTTTTAGTATATATGTTTTAAATTTTGAAATATTGTATCATATAGTATTTGTATATACACATGGGTTTCAATGATCAATATGGAGGGCTAGTCAAGAGAGAGCTCTGAGAAAGGGAGCCTTGATGACCCAGGAACAGATACAGTTGGAGTCATTTTCCATCTATTTGGTTAATCCTGAAATATGAAGTGCTATCTAGTCTTATTGCTTGTCCTTTCTACTAGTTTATTAATCTATAATCTTGGATGGGATGAGGTGGAGGGTGGATGAGGAAGTTGACTTTGAAACCAATGGAAAAGAATGATGAGAATATTCAATTCACATTTCCACTGTGGGAATAAGCGTTCTTATATTTTAAAGTTCAGGCTTAGTTTCCACCATTCTTTTTCATTTAGATATGTTTGTAGTTCCATTAATCCTTCATAAACTCTCTGATTGCACCTCTGTGCTGCGTGATTTTAATCTTCTCAATCCTATTATAGGAGAGAAGCAATGCCCTTAAACCTGATTCGGACAAACACTTGAGTTATATTTTCAAAATATGATTTGTATAACAGCAATTTTCAAATTCTAGAAAACAAAGGGTGGATCATCTACAAAAATAAAAAGAAGACAAAAAGAAAAAAAAAACAAGACAGAAAGAAAAACCATGAAATGCCCAGGTTTAATTTTTTTTCCCACCAGCAGAAGAAAGGGCAGTTCGTAATCATCTTGCACGGAGAATATACACCAGACAGCAGTGTTGGCCTCTAAGTGCAATCAGTCTTTTCAGTCCAGGGAAATGTCGGCGGCTGAGTGCTGATAGGTATTGCAATCGCAGCTAAAACTCAAGGTGCTGTCAGGATGATACATCAGATTCTATTCCATGGCTTCAAAAAGGACTGGGGACCAGGCCTTTAAAGGGCCTATATGGCTGCCTCCTTTTGGTAAGTATCCCTTAGCTTCCATAAGGGGGTAGAAACAAAGCAGGCCAACTTTCTGAGGACTGCACCCCACAGCTGTAGGAGACACCAGAAAGTGTTGTGACGTTGTTCGTAGGAACTATAGGAAAGGTTTTGATTTGCCCTTTTGTATGAACCTGTTAGATTCATAACCTGTTTCAAACCAAGTGTAGACATAAAAATAGCCCCACAACTCTTACTGTGTTTGGACTGATTTCCTGGCAGGCTTTCCTGCCAGATGAACTCTGAGCTGCCAATGAATTTGGGGGTAGCATTTCATATACAGAACCTATGTTGTCAAATGCCTGTGGCCAAGAGAAAAATCTTCTCGTTCACAGATTGCAAAAGGGTAACATTGCTTTCTCTGAATGCACAGGTTCTGGTAAAAGATTTCTATACAAGATTTATAAAATGCTCTAAAAAACTTGTCATCTAATTGTGCTTAGTCAAAACAATGTAATGCTTCGGTAAATAAACTACTGTCTTAACTGGAGCACTCAAAGTTACTTACGATTGATTTCATATATATCTCTATATTATAAAACTCTGAAACCTGAATGGGATATATTTTACTGTATTTGTATCCTATTAAGAAACTATATCTAAGTAATCTAAACCAGAAGAGTTGACATACATGACATCTCTATTAAATACAAGTTTTTGATTAAAATTTCAACAAAGGCAGAAACCTTTTATACTCATTACAGTGAGCTTAAGTTTTGCCCAGGAAACCACTCATTTTGGAATGCCCAATTAACGTTTTATAACAGCGAATATTCTTGTTATCCTTGCCCCTTTTTTAATACTTTCAGTGACTCTTTGCATCTTTCTGTCTTCTGAATGGCCTTCTGGAAAGCCCCTGGCTTTAGGGTGATTTTACTCCTGCTCAGACCCTGAATAACCACTGACGAGGTTGAAGAGGTACATCTCTCAATCCAGAGAACCACATGGAGCGAAATAATTAACCAAGTTATTTACAGACACATTCAGTCTTGCTTTGGTTCACACTGCACTTCCATGTGAAACCTCAAGGGCCAGGAGATGGCTACGTCCCTTGGTTTACCCGGTTGACAATGTAGCTCTTGACATTGGGAATAGGTCGCACGTCATTCTGATGCTTGCGGCGTTCTATGAAGCACGCCAGGCGGGAGGTATCCAGGGGGATCTTGGAGTAGCTGCCATTGTGGGGCTGCAGCCATGGATGCTGCAGGCAGGTGGCCGCCGTGGGCCGCCTTCGAAAGTCTTCCTGTAAGATCACGTTGATGAAATCTCTGGCGGCATTGCTCACGCCACAGAAGTATTCATGGGGGAAGCTGAAGTCCACCCTGCACACGTTGATACACGTTTCCTCTTTGCTCTCATCCAAGAAGGGGGAGACCCCACTCAGCATGACATATGTCAGAACCCCGATGCTCCAGATATCTGTGCCCAGGGACACAGGGATGCCTTGGATCACTTCTGGGGCAGCAAACTCGGGGTTCCCCAACAGGTGGTGGATGTGGAAGTGACCTGAGATCTGGACAGCATCCTCCAAGTCGATGAGCTTCACTCGAGGCACTGGAATCCGTAGGTCAATGAGCAGGTTTTCAGGCTGCGGAGATCCAGGGAGGCAGGGAGAAGAGAAGGCAAGTTCAGATCTCTGTTTTCACCACCAGGAGGACTCCACTGGTTCTAGGCCACTTTGCTATTCTTTGATAAAGCCTATGGTGTGTGGGACATTCCCTATGCAAAGTGCATAGCAGGCTTCAAAGAAACTAAGCTCTAAGTGTGGGTGGTACTTCAGAGAAGTTGTTTGACATTGAAAATCATCTTTTCTTAACTACTCCTTACTCCTGCATTGAATCAAGAATAAATTATTCATTTTGGACAATAGGAGCTTCTTTTTGAGCACCGTGAAAAAGAAGGTGACATTTATTGGCTTCCTTCGATAAAGTTAGACGAAGTCGTTAAAGCTTCCCTACCTTCTCCACTCACATGTCATTGTGACTCTGCTGTGTTCTCATTAATTCACAAACAACACAATTAAACCGTGTAACAACCTAGTTTCTGTGGAGTATTCATAAGGAGTCTCCTCTAAGTAAATAAAATACATGGGAATTTCCATCCCTCAAGGGTAACGACTGGCAGGTGGGACTTAACCATTTCCCTGCGAGGGTTGCTATTTCTTCTTACCTTTATGTCCAAATGTGCAACCCTGCAGTTGTGAAGGTACTGCAGAGCCTCCATGATGTCCCGGATGTAGAAAGCTACTTTTTCTTCCATCAGCTCATCATGATTCATAAGGTAGTCTAAGAGCCGGCCATCGTCCATCCTGAAAGTAGGGAGGAAGAGGCAAAGGAAAACGTTTGTAAAGAAACAGAAAACTAATGCATATATAGAGCTGTAGGATCACTAAGACCTATCCCATCCCCTATGATAAGTGAAGATCAATGTTGCACACATGCATATTTTAGTTAGAGCCCAAAGTTAGAATAACGCTCAGAACTTCAACCAATCAATCAGTCAATCAATAAATAACAAAGGCCATATGCTTCAGGGAAGAAATTTGTGTGAACTTAAGACACATTCTGTTTTGTTAGCTTTTAAAATTGCTCACAAGGAAAAGGGTCTGACACCCTTTTAAGGGGTTAGATTGCAAAATAGAGAAAGTCTTCACAGAGAGAGAGAGATCTTGGCAATATTCTAATGAACCAGAACCTGGTGGCTGCGAGCAACCCCACATAGGTTTTGCAAATTGCTTTTATTTGTGAATTTTTAATTGGGGAAAATGGAAAGTAGGCAAAGTTTGTCCCTGGCATTCCTGACCCCTTTTGAATCCTCTGCCTTTTGCGCAACTTTCCAATCTTAAAAACTGTGAGTGAAAACAGTGTATGAGGAGCCAGCCAGAAACAGACTTGAATCCTGGTTCTGCCACTTACAGGCTGGGGGCTTGGAGCAAGTCATTCAAACTCTCTGTGTTTTAGTTTCTTCATCTTTAAAATGAGAATAATAACAACAATCATAACACCTTCATTATGAGGATTGTGCAAGGATCAAGTGAGACAATGAGTACTGAAGCATAAATGGTAGCAATAGGAAGTGCTCTATAAATGACAACTATTTTCAGGTACCCTGTGCCCTCTTTAGCAAGGAGTGACCACACGTCAGGCAGTTATTCTCTAAGGAACATTGAGCTGTGAGAGGCACATCCCCAGGAAATGCCCAGGCAGAGGAGCTTGAGCCAAAGTGAGTAAACACTTTCCAGCACAGCTGAAACCCGCTGGACAAGTTTCCATTCTCTTCTCCAGCTTTTTCCTTCCCACTGGTCTCTTCTCCTGCTTTCCTTGACAGGAGCAAAGGCTAGGACCAGCGAAGACCTCCTTTGCCCTCTGACCCTCCAGGGTGGGGTGGGAGTGGTGAGCGTGGCATGGAGTAGGACTGGGCTGGGTAGATGCATCCCCTGGTCTCCTGGGAGTGCTTCAGGGAGAACATCACAGGAGCGCTGCTCTGAGACCAGAACATCTTAGCCACCAAGTTCACTCTTACAGTTCATGGATAATGCAGATGCCCAGGCCCCACCCTACACTAGGGGAGCAGAACCTCAGTTGCCTGGTAGTAAAAGCCCTATCAGCGATTTGGATGGCTGCCCAAGGGGGACCCACAGTCATGGCAAAACCAAGATTGAGCACCGGCTTCAGCTCAGGCACTGCCTCTCCACAAATCTTCCCTGAACCTCGAGTCCAGCCAAGAACCTTCCCATCTTCTCACAGCAACCCTCTCCCGCGTATGCACTGACCATGCTAGACTGAACTCACTCCTTTATCTACTGGTCTTCCTCATGAGGCTTACAACTCCTCCAGGGCGAGAACTCTATCTTTCCATCTTTGTTCTTCCCACCCTGGCCAAGGTCTACACAGTGGCTGGTGTACAGTGACTGCTCAGTAACTGTTTGATAAGCTAATCCAATCCAGTATTCATCTAATTTAATCCTTGCAACATCTTGAGAAGCAGAAATAATTCTTCAGACTTCCCAGGTGAGTACGCTGAGGCCCAGGAAGCTAACTACACTGCCCAAGTCTCAGAGCTGGGATCAGAGCCTAGGTTCCTCCTTCCAAGCCCGGCTCCTTCCCATTGCACTGTGGCAGTCTGGTAGTCAACACCTTCCCTTGGGATGGTAATCAGCAATCTGATGGGGCAAAGGTTCTGGGTCTGCTGTACCACCAAGGTACGCAAGTGACAATATCTCTTCTTGGAACTGAAGTATAACATGTTGTCACTTGCAGACAAAGATAGTTCACAGTCAAACAGACTATTGCTTTTGAGTTAGGAAGCTCCCAACAAACAGGTTAGGCTCTGAAAGGCTGTTTACAAGAGTATTTGTTAAATCCAGAGTGACAATCTACCAGCTACTACACAGCTATATAAAGTTAAGCATCACAAAAGAATTACAAATATTACCAGTGTTGGTTTTGTCTCCTCTTGTTTCTTTTCAATCAATTACAAAATGTAGCCAAAAATATTTGTGTTTTGGTTTTCTTTCTTTCATCATAAATAAATTTATAAGTTACTGCTTCACAGGGCCCTATACAGACACCTCAACTAACAAGCACACAAGAGCAAGACAGCATGACAGTTGAAAAGCTGTAAATGGAGGTCTTCTCTCCCAAACATCAGTTCATCCAGAGCCATATAAGGCATTGGTCTTCGGTGCAAATGTCTGTCTGCTCTTCAGGTTCAGGGCCCCATCAGCACCGATTGATTACATTTCTGTGAAGGCTCAGTACTTTGGAAAAGACTCTGTTCTCTTTGGCCTCTGCAAGATCTCTCTGAACCACAGAGAATGATCTTGGCTTTGGAAGTAGTAGGGAGAATGTGACCTTATTGCTGAAGCCTGGGGTCAAGTATGTGGCCCTAGGTATATGGCTGCCCGAGTCCCTAGATAATCTGGAATGAGTGCAATGTTCTGAAGGTAAGGTTCCACCCTAGGAGGCATTTATTGGGTGGTAGACTGGGGACGCTATGGCAGTGGGTTGATGCACAAACTGCTCTCTTTCATTTCAGCTCTCCTGTGACAATAACCCCACTGTCAATAAGCTTTCCCTAAACTCCTGCCCAGTCCAAGAGACCATAATAGAAAGAAAAGGAAAGTTGGAGTGAGAAAGACGTGGGTTCAAGTCTCAGCTTCTCCATTTCCTAGTTTTAAGGAGGTAGTTTTAGTGATCTCCCTTATTTTTTGATTTTCTAATCTATAAAATGAAAATAACATTTTTGAACAATGGAGGAGAGAGTGCATGTGACATACAACACCTCGTAAACTATAAGACACTGTGTCCATCAGTTGTGGACAATAAGTAATCCAAACAGCTGGGGACCACCTTGGAGAGATGACCCCTGGACTCACAGTTCCAAAATCAGGATGTAGGATGTGGGGGACTCGTAGGTATCATGCAGAGTGATGTACTGGGGGTGCTGCAGGTGCTGGAGCAGGGCAGCCTCGTGGGCAGCCTGCTCTTTTTTCTTCATCTTTTTGCTGACGAATTTCACGGCGACGTCTTTGCGGGTAGCTTTGTGAATGCACTTCTTTACTATGGAGAAACGGCCTCTGGAAAACAAAAGGGAGACAGTGTTTTGCCAAGGTTTTCGACAATGAGGTACCATTTTATTCAAGGATGTGAAAAGGTTTATCAGAAGTGGTCAGACAGCAACACTTTACTAGGAATCCTGCTCTCCCGTATTTGCAATTATAATGTTGTCATTCAGAAAAACCATTTTTCCTTCCTTACCATTTTAGGGATTTTTGAGATGTGAAAAACTAACACATAACATTTTTTCGTCAATATATTTCTCTGTCTTTTTGAACATCAACCACAGGTTTAGTTTTCTTTTCTAAACAGAGCATATTTCTATAAAATGCAACAATAACAACAGTAACAATGTAAAAGAAGGTGGAATTCTGCTCTATGATAATTTCAAAAACATTTTTCAGAGGCAATTTTTCATTTTACTTTGTATTTATTATCTTTTTATTACGAAAAATTTCTAATATCTACAAAAGTAGAGAGACTAGTATATTAGATTTCCTAGGCACCCAGTGGCCTGCTTCAATAATTATCAACATTTTGCCAACCTTATTTCATCTATTCCTTTCCTGCCACATGCCTTTCTTTTTTTCTCGAGTATTTTAAGCAAAATCCAGTTATCATGTTATTTCACTGATAAATACTTCAGTTTGCATCTCTAATTGCCAAGGACATTTTAAAATATAGAACTACCATGCTGTTTTCACATCTAACAAAAGTAACCACATCTAAAAGAGACAGAATGGTTCCCAGACCCGGCCATAGTCCTGTGGAAGGAAGTTAAGAGAGTGAAATAGAAGGAGAACTGGTCAGCAAGGAAGCAGAGAAAGAGAGGGTCAAAGAGGTGACAAGGCAGGGCCATCCAAGGCCCATCCATGAGGTGCACTAGCCCATGAGCACAGGAACAAATGGTCTGAAGAGCAGTCCATCCTCTGGCAGAAATGGATGCATCAGACACCATGGCCACCACTAAGATTGTCCAACCGACTCCTGGACCTACCTCCACGCTCACAAGGCAACTTTCTAATAATAATACTTTTTTTCCACTATAGATTTTCCCAAAAGAAGAGAATGTGTTAATCAAGAAAAGTATTAGACAAATATTAATTGAATGCCTTTTATATACCAGACATCATTCTTGGTATAGTGAACAAGTCCTTGGTCAAACCGGCAGTTCTGTTTTAAATTATCATCATAAATTGCCATTCTGGTTTTTGATAGCACTCTCTTGTGAGTTCGGTTATCATAAGTGACCCCTTCCTGAGGACTATGGATGCATGAGAACATCTGAGTGCTGAGGATAGATCTCCTGAACTTAGTGGCCATGTCTAGGTACTGCTAACTTAATTTTTTTTCTTAATTTTGTGTTTCTCAAAGTTATGCATCCTATGGTTTAAAAAGTCAATTAGTTCTAGTAAGGTTTGTTGTCAAAAACAATAGTACAGTCGTGCGCCACATAACAACGTTTCAGTCAACAACAGATCACATATACGACAGTGGTCCCATAAGATTAGAACCATGTGGGCTGGGTGTGTAGCAGGCTGTACCACCTGGGTTTGTGTAAGTGCACTCCATGATGTTCGCACAATGACGGAATCCCCTAATCACCCATTTCTCAGAACATATTCCATTGTTAAGCAACGCATGACTATCCCATCCTTCCAGCCACTCCGATTTTTCCTCCCCTCAAGGCAGTTTAACATATTTTAGGTGACTATTTAGGTATTTACTTCTATGTCTCTAAATGTAGTATGTTTTATGTGGCTACTTCTTGAGTTTTAGTTTTTGTTATTATCTGTTGCCATCCCACTCTGGAAGATGGGATTTTAGTCTCTTTCCTCCCTCTGTCTCCACCACATAACCACCTTTCCCATCCCCCATTCTCCCAACATAATTATACTAAAATCCATATTCAGTGTTTACATTATTGCAATTATATCAGTGCTATTCACAGTTGAACCTTTAGTAAACTAGGAATATTGTTCCTTTTTGTGGTAGAATTTGTTCTTCATTTCTGACAAGCGTGTCCCAGGCGGGCTTAGTAGCATAGTGGTTAAGTTTGCATGCTCTGCTTTGGCGGCTTGGGGTTTGTGAGTTCGAATCCTGGGTGTGGACCTGCACAACACTCATTGAGCTGTGTTGTGATGGTGTCCCACATGCAGGGTAGAGGAGGACTGGCACAGATGTTAGCTCAAGGACAATCTTCCTCAAGCAAAAACAGGAGGATTGGCACAGATATTGGCTTAGGGCCAATCTTCCTCACCAAAACAAAAGAGTGTCCTTTATGAGCATCACTCAAAGATTAGTCTGCGTCTAGGAAGGTACTGCAGGCTGACTGAGCAGTGGTTTATGTCCTAGTTCAGTTCTCAAAGTCGTGCTATGCTTGTTTGTGTGTTCTAAATAGACACAGCTTGAAAGTGGCCCAGGATTTGTGTTGTTTTGTACACAGAATTAGGGCCTCCCTTTCTTCAGCTCTCCCCTCACTGAGATTTCCCCCACATTCTTTGGTTCCCTTGGGCTTATTTTGTGGTTCCTTGGCCAGAAAGATGGGCTTCCCTCAGTTTCAGCCTCCTGCACCGTCATGCAGTTCTGCATGAATGGCCTTGGGGTAAAGCCGTGACAGAAAGAAGAGAGAAAAAAACAGGAAATTCCTGCTCTCTTCTGCTCCGAGGGACCCCCTTTCCCTGTCGTTTGGCCAGAAGGATGGGTTCTTCTTGGAGTTTTTGCTGTCTGTACATGCTACAGTTCCCTGATTTCACCCACTCCTGGGTCAAAGCTGGGAGAAGAGGAGAAAACGAACAAACAGAAAGCTCACTGCCACTGTCTCGTCTTTCTTCAAGTTTGGACTTCCCTCCCCAGTCTCTGCTATTTACTTCTCAGAATCCTCAGGAAGTTGCTTTTTGTATTTTGTCCTGGGATTCTGCTTGTAATCCATGGGAGAGAGAGGCTACCGTGGCCTTACCCCATCGTGGCCAGCACCTGCATTTGGCTCGTTTTACAAGCTGGGGCCTAAGAAGCTCTTTGGGAGCTCAGTGTGGGGCAGCCTGTCAGCTTGACCTTCACTGTGGGGTGATCTGACTGAACTGTTGAGCTGGGAAAGCTCCAAACTCAGCATCTTTAAGTCTGTCCTCTTGGGCTCGTCAGCTTCCCTGAGAAAGATCCTCTTCCTTTCTGCCTGGAGGCGAAGCCCTCACTGTCCACTCCGGAGGCCGGTGGATAAGAGAGCTGGGTGCTTGATATCTAGCACTTGTTATTATCATACTGACCCAGTTTGGAGTACGGGTCCACTGCTCTCAGCGGCACTGGCGTCCCCAAGGACAGAAACACTCTGTTCTACCCTTTCCAGAAATTAGACCTCCAGCCTTTTCCTGGACAGGGAAGGACGATCATCCTGCTGTCTGGACAGGGAAGGAGGATCATCCTGCTGTCTGAAGCCGGCAGACCTGAAGCCACAACTTCTTCTCTCACAGAGTTCGGCCAATCCTTCCAACGTCAGCATCCTCTTTGCACCTATTGCCAGAGGAACTTGGTGCTGCCCTTACCTGAGCCTTTGGAGAATCCTGCTGCAAAAGCGATCCTGGCTCTGCCTGGACACCACCACTGACTTGGATTGAGTTTGTGCAGGCCTCCTAGGTCGTTTGTCACTCTTTCACCTCTTTTTCTGCTTTTCCTACTTGATTGCTGTTGTCTATTCTTCCAATGTCCTTAGGTTTATGTGCCTACTTTAAAAAAATTCCTTTTCTGTAGATTGAGTGTGGCGTCAGGAGGGAGTGAGAATAGATGGATGTCTTCACCCATCATCCTTACCTGGAGGCCTGGTCCTGCTACCTTGCTGGATCCTGCACAGGTAAGCAGTCAGCATTCCCAGGGGACGGCTCCCTGACTTCTTTACCCCGCAATGGTGCCTGTCTAGTTTATTTCTGGCTAAATATGCTATGCTCATGTGGTCTTTGCTTCTATCATGGGCTACAGGAGTGAAGATATTTTTTTGGTACCATGGTTTTTATAATATGTAATTACTAGAGAGCGAGTCTTACCAAGATAGTCACATAGGCCTAGAATTCTAGGTTTAGGTGTGCTGGAGAAAGTTGACTCACTTCTGTGACCCTGGCTCAGATATCTTTCATGTGTCTCATCTAAGCATCTATGTGTTTTATTTCCATTCTGTTACCCTACAGCATTTTTAAAGGATTTTCTGAAAACATGAGGCCTCTTCTTAGGAGACAGGAAAAGCTTCAGGTTGTTGGAGGCGAGATTTTACTTTATTTATTTATTTTTTTGCTGAGGAAGATTCGCCCTGAGCTGACATTTATGCCAATCTTCCTCTATTTTATATGTTGGTCACCGTGATAGCATGGCTGCCAACAAGTGGTGCAGGTCCACACCGAGGAACTGAACCCAGGCTGCCAAAGTGAATGTGCCGAACTTCACCCCTAGGCCCCAGGGCCAGTCCCTTCAGATGAGATTTTAAAAAAACCATTGATTGCTTTGAACAGATCAGAATACTGATTTCCCCCCTGAGAAATATCGAAACGTCCATCTCTTCTAGGTGAAACATCCCTTAGCCTATGGCTATCAATAGCAAAAGCAGGTGTTGGGGAGTGATTAACAGGTGTCTGGGTGATGGAACCAGTCTCATTTAGAACCAGGTGGGGATCTGATTTGCTCATTATTGGAATCGTATCTAGCTTCACAAATTTTAATATAATGGAGCAAACTAGATTTCAATGACTAGGGCTATTTTTGACAAAAATTACTGTGATGAGAAACAACACATGCTAGTCAAAGAAGCTCAGGCCCAGAGTCAGGTGGCCCAGGAGTTGAATCCAGGCTACACTTACTAGTTGTGGGACCTCGAGAAAGTTATGTAACCCCCCTGAGCTTGAGTTTCCTTTACTGGAAATCTGCTTAAACACTACCTCACAGTGCTGTAGGGATCAGATTAAATAACTTTTGTGTAATATCTGCATAGTATCCGTAACACTATAGATACTTAATAAGCATCATCATGATTATCACTGCATAAATTTCCATTGGCCTTTTTTTTTCTCTTTGGCTAGACAAAGAAGAGAGGAAAAGAGAGCTAAAGTTTGTGGTTTTTGCTGAGGAAGATTGGCCCTGAGCTAACATCTGTGCCCATATTCCTCTATTTTACAAGTGGGACACCTGCAGCAGCATGCCTTGATAAGTGGTGCGTGCATCCACGCCCAGGATCCAAACCTGTGAACCCTGGGCTGCCAAAGGGGAGCACGCAAACTTAACCGCTGTACCACTCAGCCAGCCCCTAAAGTTGGTTTTTGATGAAAGGTTCTGTAATGAAAGGCAGTGAATTACATTTCGACTCTGCCTAAGAAACAGGAATAAGGAACATTTTGGCTTTCTTCAGAGCCTCTGTCACAATTACTCCACTTAGGAAATTTATGCTTCATTGAGAGACATCAATCAGAGATGGAGAGGATGCTAATAGCCCATTGTGAGTGGCTGTTCTTTAATGTATAGGTCCAGGGTGGGTGGGTGGCTTGTAAGATCTACCGGCGTTCTCTATTTATCCAAAGAGCTTGAAGTCAGCAATCCCAAAAGTCCTGTGCACCCCAATGTTTATTGCAGCACTGTTTACAATAGCCAAGACGTGGAAGCAACCTAAGTGTCCAGCAACAGACGAATGGATAAAGAAGATGTGGTACATATATACAATGGAATACTACTCAGCTGCAAAACAGAACAAAATCATTCCATTTGCAATAACATGGATGGACCTTGAGAGAATTATGTTAAGTGAAATAAGCCAGCGAGAGAAAGATAATCTGTGTATGACTCCACTCATATGAGGAATTTAAAACTATGGACCAAGAACAGTTTAGTGGATACCAGGGGAAAGGTGGGGTGGGGGGTGGGCACAAAGGGTGAAGTGGTGCACCTACAACATGACTGACAAACATTAATGTACAACTGAAATTTCACAAGATTGTAACCTATCAATAACTCAATAAAAAAAAAAAAAAAAGAAAAAGATCTACCTGCGTTCTCTTGCCTGGACCACCTGGAGACCCTTGATGCACGGGCATCGACCCCCTCTGTTCCCTTCCATCAACTATTTTGTGGGACAGGTGACAGATATTTTTCATTATTCTGTTAAAAGTCATATTTTTATCCTTTGTATTTTTGAGGACATACTTTTCTAACCAAAATACTGAAAAAAAAGAGAGAGAGGGAGGTGTGTGCATGTGTGTGTGAAGGGGGATATTGGACTAGAAATATCCATAAAACAATGTGCTTGACATATGGACATATATGAGACCTGGACCCAACAACTGGTGATTACATATTCATCTCAGGAACACATGGAACGTTTTATGAAAAATGACCATGCCCTACTCATAAAGCGAGTCCTAACAAAAATCAAGGAATCAGCATCATATGGACCAAGTTCTCCAACCACAGTGCAATTGAGGTAGAAATCAGTAACAAGAAGATAATTTCTTAAAATCTCGGACATTTGGAAATTTTAAAATATTTCTATTACAACTGGTTCAGAGAAAAAAACTCATAGTTGAAAGAAAAATATTTAGAAGTAAATGATCATGAAAATGCCACATATAAGAACTCAGGAGATGTAGCTAAAATTGTACTTTGAAGAAAAGGTTGAGCCTTAGATTCTTATATCAGAAAAGAAGAAAGTCTGAGAGTTGATGAGTGAAGCCTCCAACTTAAGAAGTTGGATAAAGAACAATAGAAAATATACATAAATATTCTAGCTGTTCCTTACTATGGAGAGAATGCACCTAGTAAAGGGACAACAACAAAAGCAAGCCATTATTCTGAGGGGATGTTAAGTGTTCACGAAGGAAGGAAGAGAAAATGGGGTCATTACCTTCCAATTTCATTCAGCTCAGTATAAGCTGAATCGAAATTTTCCTTCCAAGAAATGGTGGCCCCATCGGCAGCAGCGTCTTCACGATATTGAGGATGTCATGTAAGAAAGAAAGAAAAGGTTAACAGCAAAGCTCCAGCATCGCCCCAAAGCAATTCTCATGACTAAATATGGAGCCTAACTCGGTGGGAAAATGCCACGATTCTCTGAAATGTTATTTTTAAAAATTTCATCCACGGGGAAACTGACGTGACGGAGTCAGACTCCCTGCCCCACCTACGTAAACAAAGGGAAAACTCAGGACAGTCCGGAAAGTAACTTCCGGGTATTTTAAAATAGACATTTGGTAGAAAAAATTAAAAGTGAGAGAGAAAAACACTTGGAAGCCTCAAAAAGACACTGGAATCGGGGCTGGAGGGAGGAGGCAGCAGAGAGGATGGGGCAGAGTTCCAAGACCAAGGAGAAAAGGAAAGGATGTGCTCCAAACATTCTAAAAACTGCTCTTTCTCACCCACTGTGCTCAGGCATTAGTGAGCTCATCGGGACTACTGAATGATTCAGCTTGACCCAAAATAGATGCCTGGCTAGAGTCTTTGGCAGTGTCACCTGGTGTGGCATGTTAATTCTCTGCAATGATTTACACATACGCACACAAGCATGTACACCAATATCTGTTTATGTTGTCTGAATTTAGTTCATGCTCCAGAGGAGAGGAAGGGCTCTTCTGATGCTGATCACCTCAGCTGCCCAGAGCACAAGCAGCTGAGGCTCAAGGTGCCTGATCCATCCTGAGCTCTGAGGAAGCAGAGACCCAGGGCCAAGTTTCCCAGTGAGTCACAGGCCCACAGGAGCAAAGCCATCAGGAGGGAGCTGAGCCAGGCAGGGGTGGAGACGGGGCTGGGGAGCATTTCCGGATTGACTCGGGGGACAGCTGTAGCCTGAGGCCCTAGACGGTTTCTGAAGCTCCTCTGGAGACTCTGGGGTTCCTTTAACCCTGAGGGACAAAGGTTCATTGCCTTTTAAGTCCAGTGACCCCCTCTCACCGCCCATCACACGCAGTCCACTCCCAGGCACTGCCGAAAACCTCACGACTTGGGGATATCTTCAGGCTCACAGGTGTCCTCCTGCCCCCCTGGGACCAAGGTGGCTTGGTGAGATAGTGAAGAGGGGGCAAAATAAGAACCACCTTTGTCAAATACTCCTGTGTAGCTGCTTATCTGTGTATCTTAGTTAATTATTCAACACATCTACATAAAAATGTTTAATGTTAAGAAAAGACATTCTGGGAGGGCTCGGGGTGGGGAAACCATCAAATATTCATTTTGATTCAAATCCTTCATCCACTGCTTTCCTCTCCCCACTTTAAATTGGTGAATGGGGCTGTTCCTCCTGTACACTAATGCCTGGGAGCGATTCCCAGGGAAGGGCAGGCTTGCTGTTCCTGTCTCAGAAGAGGGGCAGAGAGCATCCATTGACTCATGCCTTCTGCCTGCCCCTGTCAGCTCCTGGAGACACACATGGGTGCCTGGGAACCCGGCAGACATGGGTGGCAGATCTAACTTTTGCTCCAAGACACCTGAAATGATCCTTTATGGAAACACTCTTCATCGGGCCTCTGAAATGTTACTTGACTGAAGCCGCAGAGCAAATCCAGGTCAACTCTTGCACGGTGGCCTGACATCCCAACGAGCGGCCAGTGCCAGAGAGTGTGTGACAGCGGGCCTGGTGCCCTGCTTCCCCCCTGGGGTCTTGGGCACGGCTGGCACTCACCATACTCCGGAAGTCGCACAAACTCCGAGGGCTCGCTGGGGAGGCTGATCCCCCACGGGTTACTGGCACTGACTCTGAACTGGTAAGGACTCCCGGGACTGAGGTCTTCAATGACGAGGTAAGTGTCCAAGGTTGAGGCTACCGACTGCTGCCAGGCCTGGGAACCTGTGCACGGTTTCCGAGAGAGGGAAGGAGAAAGAGCCAGAGGGACATTGTTTCAAAGACCTTCAGCGAACAAAGAAAGGAAAATCCACACTTCCCATTAAAGGGAGTGTTGTGGTCACTGCGTCGGCCTCTGAAAGCCAGTCCGCCAACCGTGGCAGGTTCGGGTTCAGTTTCCTAAACGACTGAACATGTCATGAGGGAGGTGGGAGCAGACGGCCTACAGATTCCGTTCATTTCCACAGGTGCACGTGTGAGTGAAAAGACACACATCACACAGTTCACACAGGAACATGTGCAAATTTTAATAAGGCCAGAAAACTACTAGAAGTTAAAAATAAAATGAGAGAAAATACACACTCTGAAATGAAAACAAGGTCGAAATGATCATGTATGAGCACTACATACATGGAAAACCCTGCAGAAGGCGTCTCCACCTGCTTCTCTCATTAACTTTCTCACTTCAACCCACAGAACCCCGAGGAGGTCAGGCCCACGAATCTCACTTGACAGATGAAGAAACCGAGGCTCAGAAAGATTAAACAACTTTCCCAAGAGAACTGCGTTCGTAAGATGAACCAGGAACTGAGTAACGTTGAGGTAAATCCGAACTTGGTGAAATGTGTCTCTCAGCTCAGATTTAAGACTGTCGTGCTGAGTCGGGAGACACAGGAGTGACAGCTTGAGAAAGATGCAGAAATAAAGTGCTTTATAAGTTCATGGGGCCTGTTTCATAGAAGAACGAAAAGTTAAAATAATAAGAGTAGGGGCCGGCCCCATGGCCGAGTGGTTAAGTTCGCGCACTCCTCTTCGGCAGCCCAGGGTTTCATCGGTTCGGATCCTAAGCCCAGACATGGCACCACTCATCAGGCCATGCTGAGGCAGCATCCCACATGCCACAACTAGAAGGACCCACAACTAAAAATATACAACTATGTACCAGGGGGCTTTGGGGAGAAAAAGGAAAATAAAATCTTTAAACAAAATAGTACGAGTAATGGAAAGTCAAGTAGAACGAATGATTTTGGTGCCGGGTGCCAGCAGCTGCCTTCAGTCCAGTTGTGTGATTCATTGTGTGGTTCAGAGACTGTTGTTAACAACTGGAGCCGCCTGGCAGCTTCCGGTTTTACCTAATTCTTCTTGATTCTAGGTGTCAGGCTCAGGTGTTTCTAGCTGCTGAAGAACTGTGTGCACTCTTAGCAAGCAAACCCAACAAATGTTAAAATGGAACAATTCAAAGAAGGCATAATCCATATGTACATACATACATATATATCTCATGATCTCTAGATTTTACCCTGGGGGGAGGGTGGTGGTAAAGCTCTGCTCATGCTGCCCTAGTTATTACTCTGGCAGAAAGGTCACAAATTAGCAAACCAGAGACCTGGGTTCTAGAGTCAGCTCCGCCTCTTCTAACTCCAGCCTCGTGTTCCTTTTGTTTTTATGAATTTTGTTTGTTTGTTGTTTTGGGGGGTTTTTTTGAGGAAGATTAGCCCTGAGCTAACATCTGCTAATCCTCCTCTTTTTGCTGAGGAAGACTGGCCCTGAGCTAACATCCGTGCCCATCTTCCTCCACTTTATATGCATGATGCCTGACACAGCATGGCTTGCCAAGTGCTGCCATGTCTGCACCTGGGATCTGAACCAGTGAACCCTGGGCCAGCGAAGTGGAACGTGCAAACTAAACCATTGCGCCACCAGGCTGGCCCCCATAGCCTCGTGTTCCTTGACTTTCTCTAAGCCTTCGCCTCATCACTTGTACAACGTGCCTGACTGTCCCTGTCTGGGTGAGTGGGCTTGTTAAGTAGGGGAGTGCATGGGAAGGCATTTGGAAACCAGCCACGGGGCATCATCATTTTGGTGAAAATGGCTGCCCCGTGTTTGAGATCAGAAGGCAGCTGTGGTATGGCCCTGAAGGCTTGGTGCTGAGTTGGAAGATGCAAGAAGGAGCAGCTGATGAAAGGCACAGAGGCCAATAGTTTTATGACTCTGAAGGACGCCCTCACGAGGAAGAGAAGGCAGAAAGGGAAGAGCTGGTGGAGACGGCCCACCTTCCTCTCTGTACTCCACGGTGTAGCCAGAAATGGTGCAGTTTCCCGTGCTGGAGGGGGGCAGCCAGCGGAGAATCACGGACGTGCAGCTTCTCTCCTGGGCGATGGGGCGGTTAGGGGCCGCTGGAACACCTGCAGGGGAAGAAATTAGGGTCAACTGCTATTTCTGCAGAACTTGGCATTTTACACCAAGGTCCTATGTCTCCCAGGAAATGTTACCTAAGCTGTGTCTCAATGTTTCCCTATGACCTTCTCCACCCAGTGACATACATCCCTCCAGGCCTGAGGGAGACTTGGGAGACACACCTTGCTGTCAGAAGTTCTTCCTTGGGCTAAATACTGCATGCAGGAGATAAAACTTGGTCAGGGAATGACTCCAAAATATACTACAAAGCCATAGTGATCAAAACAGCATGGTACTGGTACAAAAACAGGCACACAGATCATGGGAACAGAACTGAAAGCCTAGAAACAAAACCACACATCTACGGACAGCTAATCTTTGACAAAGGTGCCAAGAACATACAACAGAGAAAGGATAGTCTCTTCAATAAATGGTGTTGGGAAAACTGGACAGCCACATGCAAAAGAATGAAGGTAGACCATTATTCACACCATACACAAACATAAACTTTAAATGGATCAAAGACTTGAAGGTAAGACCTGAAACCATAAAACTCCTGAAATATACGTAGTATACTCTTTGACATTGAACAAAAAAGGATCTTTTTGAATATCATGTCTTCTCAGACAAGGGAAACAAAAAAAAAACTAAACAAGTGGGAGTTCATCAGACTAAAGAGCTTCTGCAAGGCAAAAGAAACCAGAATCAAAACAAAGAGACAACCCACCAACTGGGAGAAAACGTTTGCAAATCACATATCTGACAAGTGGTTAATCCCCATGATACATAAGGAACTCACGCAGCTGAACAATAAAAAAACAAACAACCTGAACAAAAAATGGGCAGAGGATATGAACAGACATTTTTCTGAAGAAGATATACAGATGGCCAATAAACACATGAAAAGATGTTTACCATCACTAATCATCAGGGAAATGCAAATCAAAACTACACTAGGATACCACCTTATGCCTGTTAAAATGGCTGTAATCACTGACTAAAAATAAGAAATGTTGGAGAGGGTGTGGAGAGAAGGGCACCCTCATCCACTCCTGGTGGGAATGCAAACTGGTGCAGCGACTGTGGAAAACAGTATGGAGATTCCTCAAAAAACTAAAAATAGAACTACTACATGACCTGGCTATCCCACTGCTGGGTATCTACCCAAACAACTTGAAATCAACAATCCAACGTAACATATGTACCCCTGTGTTCGTTGCAGCACTATTCACGATAGCCAAGACATGGAAGGAACGCAAGTGCCCATTGACTGATGACTGGATAAAGAAGATGTGGTGTATATATACAATGGGATACTACTCAGCCAGAAAAAAGACAAATTTATCCCATTTGCAACAACATGGATGGACCTGGAGGGAATTATGCTAAGTGAAATAAGCCAGTCTGAGAAAGACAAAAACCAGATGATTTCACTCATATGCGGAATATAAACAAACACATGGACAAGGAAACAGTTCAGTGGTTACCAGGGGGCGTGGGGTGGGGTGGTGGGCACAAGGAGTGAAGGGGAGCTCTCATGTGGTGACAGTCAAGAAATGATGTACAACTGAAATCTCACATTGATGTTAATTCTTATGAACGCAATTAAAATTTAAAAAATTAAAAAATAAAAACTTGGTCAGGGAACCACGCAAGAGGTGTACGGTAGGGCACGGACAGCTCTTAGCAAAGATTTTTTCTCTTCCTATTTGTTAGAACTTTCTTTTGGAATTTTCACAATGGACCTTTCCTTCCCCAGGTCTCATGGAGCTCTTGTCATGTCTACTTAAAACGTCAGACTAACACAAATTACAGAGACACAAAGCAGAATGGTGGTTGCCAGCGGGTGGGGGTGGGGAGGGAGGAATGGGGAGTTGTTCAATGGAGAGAGTTTCAGTTTTGCAAGATGAGAAGAGCTCTGGAGATGGGCTGCGGTGGTGGTTGCACAACAATGTGAACGTCCTTAACACTACTGAACCGGATGCCCCAAAATGGTTAAGATGATAAGTTTTATGCTGTGTGTATTTTGATACAATTAAAAAATAAATATTAAAAAACAGATAAATGTTTGAGTAACAGACTGTACCTTGCACTTTGACTGTGGCAGACGTCGATGTGGTGCCGTGGTCATTTGTTGCTACGCAGGTATAAATCCCGCTGTCTTGGGGCATCAGATTGCAGATCTTCAGAGAGATTTCCCCAGAATCACTAGGGACATGAAAAGGATGTCTTTCACACTCCAGTAGTGAGACGATTGACGGGAAAAGGTTGGCACATGGTGTGCTGAGGTGGAGGCCTGAGGTCCAAGGTGTAGTCCCAGGTCTGTGACCTTCCCACACACCTTGGGTGCTGACCTTGCCTCTGTATCCCCAATTCCTTACAGAGGAAAGAGATTCTTGCACGCGCATCTCCCATGTTTGTTGTAAATGAGGGATAGTGAAGGAGTCAAGTGAGAAGAATTAGAACATGGTTTGAAATAGATAATGTCCTAGACAAGTCTTGGTCCACAACAGTACTAATGTTATTGCCCCCAGCAACTTCGTCCTAAAGTATTTTCGGTCTCACAGATGGATAATGAATGGGATAAGAAAACCAAAAGACTAGAGAATGAAAGCATTCAAGTATTTCAAATTCTACGTGTAGGACCCTCAGAATAATTAAGTGAATTAAGTAAAGGGCAAATTTCTCCACTAAATGACCACTTTCCCAGTAGTCCCAGTCTGGGTTCCAGGACATCACAAGGGAAGAACTGCTCTGAAAGGGGTCAACGCAGAAGTCACAGCCCCGCTCCCTCCCCACCGGTTGTGACATATCCTGGTGATCTTCATGAGCCTCACCAAGCTCTGACTCTCACCCTCAGCTCCGTGGGTCCACTGATATTTTAGGACCTGGCAAGGGAGTCTCTGCTGGGAATATGATTTTGCATGCAGACAAATTAAGTTAATGGATGAGAGTTGTTCCTAGGTGTTTCTTCCATAAATGCTTCTTAAGCATGTAGGGCTTGTTATTGCGTGTCCACTGTGAGCAGCATACACAATAAAGTTCCCAATTAGTAGCAATGAAAATTAACAGAATGGTTGGGAGGCAGTCAACTAAGTTTTATTACACTGCCTTCTTGTGGACAAGCCTGCTTGTGGCTGGATTTTCCGTTTTCTATTGTACGTTTTGGAGTGAGTCATTCTTTTTTTCTAAGAAAACTGTTCTTAGCTTAACGGAGGAATCAAATATGTCACTGTTCCACAGGATCCTGGGGGCACAAAGAACACTGGGATGTCTAGATGTGAGGAACACCTTCCTCCAGGTCTGGATTCTTCACCACTTCCCCCAACAAAGAGATTCCCTTGGGGATGCTTAGGGAAAGATCATTAAATAGGGTGAATGTAAGGAGTTACTGTCCAAGCTGTTCAAAAGTATGGTTCAGGCTTGACCTGAGATTTATGTTTATGTTTTCATTTGTGCAATTTGGGTCCAGAATGCAGTTGTTCCAAACTGTTCTGGTTGGTTCCAGGAATGTCTACTTGATGCTGAGCAACATGTGAATATGTGCTGGCCACAACCCAGATGTCCATCAGGCTGAGCAGCAGGTTGTGGTGAGTGTTGAGGCTTTGCCTCAAGCTCACAACCCTGAGTGCACTGTCGTGTGAGTGCACTATCGTGAGAGTACCCTAACGTGAGCCACCCATCGTTTTTGATGGAATCACTCTCCTAATCAAGGCCAAGTGTTGGCATCAGATTAGGCTCCAGGCAGCTCTTCTCTTGGAGATACTAGGTAACCAGAACAGAGGCTGCGTCCCAGACTTAGCCTCTGGGTGCCGCACGAAGCTGAAGGGGGAGGGGCGGGGTCACGGGGGGTGGGGCGTTCAGCTTACCAGGAGGAGACAGTATATGTGGCTGAGCTGTTGTCAGTGTCAAGGATGTTCTGGTCTGGACCCTTCCAGGTGATGGTGGGCTTCGGCCGTCCACAGACTTTGCACTGCAGTGTCACTGTGTCCCCAAGCAAGCAGGTCACATCCACTAAGGGCACAAGGAATTCTGGGGCCACTGTGGTCAAATCAACATAAATTCGCCTCATTGAGAACAAGCTTAGACGAAAACAGGCATTTTATGACACAACACTCTCATTCCCCAACCACGTTGTGTAATGATTCCAATAACCTTCCGCTTAACAGTGTTGTCATCTGTGTCCCATGAAAAAGCATTTTAAAAGTAATAAATGTTTATTGTAGAAAAATCAGGAAATATAGATACACAAAGAGAAGAAAAAGCTCCATGATGTCATGATCCAGAAGTAACTACTGTGAACATTCTAGAATATATATCCTTTCAGGCTTTATGTAAACACTCTTTTTCTTACAAAAACTCGGATCCCATTTTAGATATTGCAAGTTGTGGTCTCTTTCACTATCCAGTTGATCATAAACACCTCTCCTTGTCCGTCGGTACAGAACTCCGGCATCTCCCTCAGGGCTGGATCTGCCATAAGTTATTTAACCGAACCCTTGCTCTCAATTTGACCATTTTTTAACTCACCTTCTTGGATGAAATTTGGATTTAAGATCTGAAAAACACAAAGAAACAGAAAATTGCTTAAATCTTAAACTACTGAAAGAGAACAGGAGACCTTTACCCTATTGAGTAAAAAGAAAGTGCAATATAGGGAGCTGAAGCCAGGAGCCCAGCCTCTGGGCGTTTGTGACCTGATCACTCTCGCAGTAACAAGATAGGGCACCTGGCTTACTTTCCTGTCTCCTCTGGCTGTTCACACCCCTCTGGGTGGCCCGGGGCCCCAGGCAGGTCTATGTGACTGTGAGTTCTGCTGGCGGCAGCTGGCCTTTCTGTCTTCCATCGCCTCAGCTGCTCTCCCTCCCCGCCATGTGTGTGAAACCCCATTCTCCACACACCCCCATTCAATATGCAGTCAAGCAACGGGAGGGCAGCTGAGTCTTCCCAGCATCATGAATTTTCACAAAGAAGATGCAACTCCTCTCAAAGTGGAAGGACAATGGACATAAACGAGCCCAGTGGTTTCCTTCCAAATGGAGCCTCTGTCTCCCCAAGCGGAGAATCTTCTCTTTAAGCAGCTAAATGCAAAGCTTGTCTGGTTGAAGGGCAAAGAGAGAAGTCCTGCCCGTCCATCCTGTCCCCAGCACGGCCTCCTGTAGCCCAGGCCTCTGTAGGGCAACTTGCAAACCACTGACTAATGGTTCTAGTGCTCTGGCTGCTTAGGTGAGGCAACGGAGACTTAGGCCAAGTGACTAGTGTGGTCACATGGCTGGTTGGTGGAGGCACTGCTGGAGCTCTTGGCACATCCTGCACTGACACCTTGTGACACCGTGGATCTTCACAGAAGGGAAAGCCTTCCAGCCGACTAGCCATGCTGGAGTTACCCCTTCTTGAGAGGTGGTCACCTTGATCTCCCCCCATCTTTTGTATGACCTCTACTCATTAAGTCTGGGTCCCAAAGCCTGGTGGGGTGAACAAAACATGGGCTTCTGAATCAGCGAGGCTGGGCTCACCTCTTTTGTTTGATGTGATTTTATGTTGTTTAAAATTTCTTAGCATCCATTTCCTCCACTCTAAAATGGAAGATAAATAACACCTAGTGCAAAGTGTTATTACAAAGATTAAATGAAATCATGTACGTCAAGTGCTTAGCACAATGCTTGGCAAATAACAAGTCTTCGATGACTAAATAAAGATTATCTAATTCTAATCATCCTTCTGCTAAGCTGCCTCTTGTTGCAGTGGATTATCTCTAACAGTTTATCATGCAAAATTCTTCTTTCTTTCATAATGAAGCCAGAACGCTCACGTACCTTACAAACAGCCCATTCATGCTTCTCTCCCTGTATGGCCCGTGTTGTATGTGAACGTGGTTTCTGTGTGTTCTTCCCTTATCCAGAGATTCCTAGGAGCACTTTCAAATAAAGATGCTATTTCCTCCTTTGGGTTCCCCTTTGCAAACCAACTTCCCCCATATACTACCCGGGTTTTCTATGAAGTGGGCTGCAGAAAACTCTTGTGATGCCAAGTCCTAGTGTTGAGTGTCTCCAGACTGACCCCGGCTGTGCCCTCTGCTAGTCTCAAAAGGCCACTCACACCACTGCTCGGCCTTCCTTTAAATCGGTGATTCTCAATCCTTGACCCAGGCAGCTTTAAAAACACAAAAAGACCAATGCCTGGGTCTCATGGGTGCAGAGGGGCTGGGCATCAGGAGTTTTGAAAGCCGCCTCCGGTGATTCAATAGGCAGCCTGGTTTGAGAGCTGCTGAGAGTTCCTCTCCATCCTAGGGAACTGATCTCCGATAAACCAACTTCCTGCCGCTGAGACTTTTGTGGGGTGGGCCGGGCTGTGTGGGGACCTGTGGTGGAAGTTACTGCTTTTCCCAAGCCTAAGAGCCTCCCTCTACGTGAGGCGACCCTGGGCCATGATGGGGGTCTACCAGTAACCATGGTGGGCGGTACCGCATCACCTGCAGGGGTGCTAAGGAAGTCGTGAATTTACCCAGCTGGCTTAGGTGAGGCAGGGAGAATGACACCCAAACTAGTGGTTCACAAAGAAAAGGAAACTAACAATATTTTCTAAACGTTAACAGTAGTCATCTCAGGGGGTGAATCCCCCATTCAAAAACGATTATCTTCTCCTCCGGGATGGTGTAAGGTTCTGTGGATACAGAGATGCTAAGACATAGGCCCTGCTCTCAGGATTTACAGAACGTTATGTGAATTTGGGGGTGATTTTTTTCTTTCTCTTTCCTGGGTTTTCTAAATATTCTGCAGTCAGTATGTTTCACTCTTGTAATTTTTCTTTTTTATGAAAAAACAGCACAATCAGAGCCTTTCTATAGCTTTTATAAAACTGTAGGTCCTTCAAGGACAGGAACCACTTGTTATTCATCTTCGTACGTCAGGCACCTAGTGCAGGGTCTGCTGCACTATGGGCATTTAATACATGCTGGTTGAATGAATATTTGACCTTTGTCTTCACTTCAGTTCTCCAAGAATTGAGGACTGGTTCATAAACAGAATCTGGAAATTGGACCAAAAGATCTATAAAACAATTACTTCTGGGTATATTACCAATAATATTTGATTGGAGCCTATTTTCAAAGTCAAATGGAATGCAAACTTCTTGGAAAATGATTAAAAAACAAGAAACTCCATTGTTTCTGAGAGAGGAGGTTCTGAGTGGCGTGCTGTGCAGGAGGTAATGTAAATTTGGAGCAGACAGAGCACGTAGTGTTCAGACCCTAAGCCAGACATGCTTTCTTGCCTTGGACAACATTCTTAAGCAGCTTAGGCCTGAGTTTTATCTGTAAACTGGGGATAATAAGGCTCCCCTGGAAGGCTGTTGGACAGAAGGACTCATTTACTTAATGAAGATTTGTTGGACTCACCCTTGGTTAGGTGGTGATGGCCAGCAGGGACCGAGGCAGACATACTCACTACTCTCAGTGGGCCAACAGTCTAGCGGGGAAGACACCTGGACCTGGCTGATGTTAATGACCAGCCTTCCACAAACACGAAGCACTACCCTCTCCTTCATCCTCCTCCACTCAATCAGAAGGACTCTAGGGTACAAACGACTTGGGAATGCTTCCAACTTTTTCAGTGGCCTGTATTTCCCATCCTGATGGGAATCCACAAGGGAGCAAGACAGTAAGTCCAGGCCAGGAGTATCAGAGAGGAGACAAATGACACATGGCAGTTTCCTACGTTTCCCATCCTGATGGGAATCCACAAGGGAGCAAGACAGTAAGTCCAGGCCAGGAGTATCAGAGAGGAGACAAATGACACATGGCAGTTTCCTACGTTAGGAAATTTTAAGTGGGGTTTCATACACCTGCACTGCGGCAGCTTAGAGAACTTCTTGCTTGATTTGTCTTTCTCATCACAACCTCAACTGAGTTAAGTATATTATTAGACACATTGTTTTTAAAAAGCAAATCTTCCTATTTGGGTGTAGACTTTAGCAGGGAAGTTGGAGAGAAAGCTTGCCAACAAGGCTGAATTGCAGGATCTCTACCTGGAAGGAGCTTGTGGAAGGCATTGGTCTTCATTCCTCTGCCTCTGCCGCCCCAGGTGTTGCTGATAATGGTGATAACATCACTGATGTGTGTAGCATTATAGACTTGGCATAAAGTACTCACAAGCCCCTTCATTTGCTCCTCCAAAAGCCTGAGAGGAGGTGCCGAGCAGGTGTTATTTATTCTCATTTCCAGATGGGATGGGGAAGTAAGTGTAAGATCATAGAGAATGACAGGATTGGCTTAGTGCACTTCCCCCCCCAGCATTCAGTGCAGAGGCAAGGGCCTGGGAAAAGTGCTGTGAAACATCATCATCGATGTCAAAGGCCTACCTGCTTGCCTTTGCTCCCCAACCTCACTCTCCATCCCATCTCTGTGTAGTCCTCTTCTATAAACTCTAACAAGGACCAAGAGCCTGGGCAAAATCCATGCGAATGATCTTTCTAACTTTGACGCTGGATGATGCCCATAGAAGATCTGGCCTTCATTTTTCCTCTTTCTACTTTGAAGCAAATCAGAGTATGGACTGGAGAGGGTCATGACAGCCTTCTCCCACTGTCGTGTAATGACCTATGTGTTTGTCTATGGCTCCCTATGGACTACAACTGCCTATGCAGCTAAGGACTGTGTTTTGTTTACTGTTATCACCTCACAGCCTAACACAACACCTGGCACATAAGAGCTCCATTGATATTTGTCAAATCAGTGAAAAGTTAAAGCAGTAGAATCCTAATTTTTGGAAGGAGAGTTTAGAAAATGTCTTGCCATGAACTTAGAGTGTTTTCCTACTTCCGTTAATCAGGAATGTGACTTGCTCTGGAATCTCATCAGTCAGTCCATGTCTGAGATTTGGCCAACAGTGAACTTTTCCTCCTCCTTGCCCTTCCAGAGGCTGGTACCTACAGCCTTGATCATTGCAGCCACCTGCCATAACATCTTCTTTGCATGTTATTGCCCTACCAGACTTGTGAACCCTTTGAAGAAAGCAACCCTTTTATGTTTTATATACCATCTGTCATGCTGCTTAACATAGCATCTTGCAGACAGCAGAAGATCAAGTATTTGTTGAATCAAATTAACTGAGGTCGCTCAATTAGTAAACTAGAATTTAGGTCTCCTGACCACCTTGTCTAACGATCATTGATGCTGTGTGCAGGGACCTGAAGGGTTAATCATAAGCTGCACATATTTCCTGAAACCTAATGTTTTCCTTCCCTAGAAATAATTTGGGAGTCCATGTAGAGTGGTCGATGGGAAGGAGGAGAGAACTGGAATCCAAAATGGATGTGGTAGTGGAAGAAAGAAGACGCTGTTTATGTAAAATGCACATGTTCTCTCTGTGGGAGACCCAAATCCAAGAGGACAAGGCTGATATAGACATTGCGGGAAAGAGCTGCTTAGGAATCTGGTTTTATTCGAACAGCAGAGGGCGGCAGGCGGTAGCGCTTCCTCCTAGATGGGAAACAAGAACCACACAACGTGGCCCATCAGCAACTAGTTTCTTCCTCCTGGAGAGAATTTCAACTGTTTTC